GAGAATTGGTGGAGAACAAGACTGTCGTGTTGGAGTATGTAACTACAGAGAAGCAACTAGCAAAATATTTATACAAAGCCTCTTGATGCTGTTCGGTTTGAGGCCTTACGGACAGCTTTGGGCATTTGTGTAACGTAATTGTTCTTAGTTTTTTTTTTTTTTAAAAAAAATGACATTGCGTATTGGGTGGGAGCCGTGTGTTATAATAACCGGCCCCTTCATTTGAAATTTCCAGCCCTAATTCTTTGCTTTACTCCAGAAAGTTTGCTCTCCATATTTCTCAGAAATTTCTCCAAAATGGTGAGGACCCGAAGCAATCGAGTGTTCAATCAGTTTCCCCCCAAGAAATCTTCCGTGCCGTCGAAGAAGGTGAAGTTTTTTGCCCCACGGCAAGCTGCTCACGCCTTTGCTGAAAGCGAACCTGTCCCACTTGCTTGCCTTCCTCCGTCAGCCATTGTTCCTTACTCCAAGGCTCCGTTTTGCGACGAAGGAGATGAGATTTACTCTACTCCACGCGGGTCTTCAGAGCAAGAAAGTATTGCTCCCATTGCCCCTTTATCTCCGTCTCCTGACGTGCCGAATTTGGGTGAGAATCGGTCACCAACCAACTCTTCTAAGCCTCTGAAGGTTGTTGCGGATCAGGTGTTTGATGAAATGCCACAGAGAGATAATCTTCCGGATTTATTGAAATTTGTAGCAAGACCGGGTTTTTCATGTTGGAGCTCTCGTTCTCATGCATTCCAACAAGGTTTGAGGCCACAGTTTACACCAAGTGTTGACAACCAGAATCCTGAGTCATCTTCAAAGAAGCGGTCTCGATCTTTTAGTGAAGAATCCCTACACCCATGTGTTCTTTCTTCGGATGATGAGGAAGAAGTTTTACTGGAAGCCATGGAACCAGTGGAAAAGGAGAAGTCTTCTCAGCAATCTCCGTTTTGCGACGAAGGAGATGAGATTTACTCTACTCCACGCGGGTCTTCAGAGCAAGAAAGTATTGCTCCCATTGCCCCTTTATCTCCGTCTCCTGACGTGCCGAATTTGGGTGAAAATCGGTCACCAACCAACTCTTCTAAGCCTCCGAAGGTTGTTTGTTGCGGATCAGGTGTTTGATGAAATGCCACAGAGAGATAATCTTCCGGATTTATTGAAATTTGTAGCAAGACCGGGTTTTTCATCTTGGAGCTCTCGTTCTCATGCATTCCAACAAGGTTTGAGGCCACAGTTTACACCAAGTGTTGACAACCAGAATCCTGAGTCATCTTCAAGGAAGCGGTCTCGATCTTTTAGTGAAGAATCCCTACACCCATGTGTTCTTTCTTCGGATGATGAGGAAGAAGTTTTACTGGAACTCGTGGAACCAGTGGAAAAGGAGAAGTCTTCTCAGCAATCAACAAAGAAGAGGAAAGAAAAAGACACACCGTTGCCAAGCAGAGTCACACGGTCTGCAGCAAAGTGTTCCGCCTCTGTTCAGAAAGGTTCGGGTTCTCCACAGAGCACACGAACAAGACTAACGCACCTGGTACATCCTCTACTTTTTACTCAGAATTAAATAAGAAAGTATGGGACTCAGTAGTGCAGAGAAAATTTTTGTCTAAACGGCTATTACATGTAGCCAATTTTAGGGAGTTAGGCATTTTTTATCTTCTTAAAGCACAACATCTACTTGGAACGGTGACTAGGGTGCAGCCTTTGTGAAAAAACGTGGTTTATGAGTTTTATGCTAACTTGGTGGAAGAGATGAATAACCCTGCATCTGATATGTATCACAAAGTGTTCGTCAGAGGTCATTTGTTTAATTTCTCTCCTGTTATGATCAATGACTTCTATGAAAGTAATCGGCCGGTTTTGAATAGAGAAGTTGATTTTAATGTCATTATCGCTGAAATAACTGCCAATGTGCGACGTAAATGGCCTCCTGCAAAGTCTTTTCCTGTAGCAGAGTTAAGCTTGAAATACTCTGCCCTTCATAAGATTGCTCTGAAAAATTGGATGCCAAGTATGCATGCAACGGGAGTAAAGAAGCCTTTGGCAAAGCTACTCTTCCTGATTGGTACTACTACTACATTTGATTTTGGGCAGTTAGTGTTTGATCAGATCATCAGCAATGCTGAAGCCACAATCACTCATCCGGTTCTTCCTTTCCCTTCCCTCATTTATGGGATTCTGACGAAGCAACATGATGTCAAGAAGTCGGATGAGTTGTTTGAGAAGGCGTCGGGGTTACTTCGAATCTCGAAGAAACTGCATTCGGGAAAACATGTCGATGATGTTCAGGGGGAGCAGAGTTCTGATGAAGATGATAATGCTGAACCTAGTGTTGCTCCGAGTGTCTCTGGTGGTGTTGCAACAAGATCTTCTCAGTCCACAGCAGCGGTTTTAAATGCAAAAACCGTTCAATTTTTGTCCAAGGAGTTGCTCAATTTGTCAGCATATGAGTCTCATCTTCTTCAGGAAATGAAGAGGGTCGGACACATGAAGAAGGAGATCACTGCTATGCTTGGAGATCTTCAGTCTTCCTCGGGTGCTGATGGGCATGCTGGTACATCACAGTAGTTTGTTGTCTTTCCTGTCTTTTATTTCTTATTGTCTTTGGCTATCTTTTTGTCAAAAATGGGGAGAACATTTAATTAATCCTCTTGCCTTAGTCAGATTTTTTTTAGTAATCAGGCTGTTTTGTTAGTTTAGCCAAAAAGAGCCAAAGGGGGAGATTGTTAGTGTATTTTGTTATTGGCTTATTTTTGGTAAACTATTTGAAAAACTATTTTAGGCAGATTGGTTGTAATTTGGTGGTAACCTTGGCTGGCGTAAGAAGGAGGGAGTTTCTTAAGGAAAGTTTTGGTGGCACAGCAATCGTATTGATTTGGTTGCAGAAAGTGTATAGTTGACTTAGTGAATTAATGGTTGACAGATTTGAATGTTGGTGATGGTCTTTTGATTGGGTGAAGCACGGTTTAGGTTGTACACACTGAATGAATGTTTTGAGTAAGAGTGTGCTGAGGATTGCAGAACTGTGTACGTGAGAATGAGATTGTAAGGCCAAGAATCACTTGATGAGTTGTGACGGATTGTGAGAACATATTTTGAATTGGTTCTTCGGAAGAAGATTTTGTTGGTTTCGGGAGGAACCCATCAAGACGAGTGGTGCTCGCTGATCAAGTCTTCTAAGGAGGTTCTAGGCAACGGCAACAACTTCAAGGAGGGAGTAAGACTGTTTTCGGTCCTTGTAATCTTTTGAACTTAGTGGATTGATCACTGTCTGGGCGTGGCCCCGCAGAGTAGGTGTGCGCACCGAACTGCGATACCATTTTCTAGTGTTCTTTACGTTTTTACATTTAGTTTCTTGCATTTCTGATTTGATGGCTTAATATCGAAATTTCTATTATAACAGTGTTACAGTAAAGTGTTGTAATGCTTTCTGTGACACCAGTAACCAAAACAGACCTATCATAGATATATATGCAATGTTATAATGATGTTGTTATATGTAAAAAAAAAAAAATTATGAATTTGAAACATAATGCAATTTAAACTATTGAATAATATTTACCTTTATCGATAACACACTTTTAGAACGGATTAAAGCTCTTGTCCTTTACTAACGAGTATAGAAGAAAGACGAGAAAGCACACGCATTATATAGAGCTACGTACGCTCAATTTAAGCCGTTGCATTAAGTTTCAAGAGAATCATCCACCTCACACTTGCGATTTGGCTCCACGCTTAACAATAACAAGTAAGCAAATAAAAACATGCTCTTATGAAGGCTTGCCCCTCAACGGAATACATGGAAAATATATGGAATCGATAGAAAAAGAAACACAATACGGGAGAAAGATTTAAAAAAAACCAACATACTTGTTGTGATTCTCGGAGTTAAATCTGGAGAAAGATTCAGTAGAATCGTTTTCGTGAGTTTTTGAGCTACCAAACGATCCAAAACCAACATGAAATACACAAAGGGGAAAAAAAACTATTACATTCCTCACAAAAAATTAATGGAATCCAATATGTAGTTCGATTGGAACTTGAGATTTTTGTTCCACTAGGAATTATATAAATTAAAAAAATAATAATTCAATTCAATTAAGGGTAGGTTTAGGATTATTTCTGATATATATATATATAAAGTAATTCAATTCAATTAATGGTAAATAACAAAAAAAGGAGGAGGTAAAGGAAAATAGAGGGGTCATAGTTACAAGCGGGACAGAACTTGTTTAGAAAATGATTCTAGAGAAGAATTTTGATGCTTAGTTGTAACTTTGCCTCATCTTTGTTAGAGTTGAGGCAGGTCAGCATTATTTTGATCACACAAGTTATACTAGTCAAGGTTGTTGAAATTAAGGACGTGCTATTTTTTTAGGCTAAGAATCAAATTTTGTTGTTCCACTTGTTTTTTTTTTTCTTTTCTTTTTTCTTTTTCTGTTAATCTTTACTTTACCCTCTCTGGTTTTGAAAATTTCCTATTTTCAAAGGCAATTGGTGGTATTGATGGATGAGTCATAAGTGTCAAAAGCGACCTACATAAATAGAATTGAGCCATCCTTGTGTAATTTGAATACCACAAGTCAATGTGCCTCATAGTTTTGGGTTAGTGGCGATGACAATCAATGATGAGAATTACGTGTTTTGGCATCTAATGATAGCATAGATATAATATTTAATCCTATCTAGTTCTTAGAGATGTTTTTTGCCATGTGTAATTATCAGATTAATACGATGTGTCACTAGTTCTTAGAGATGTTTTTTGCTATCTAGTTCTTATATATATATCCAAGCAGTTTTAGGATTTTTTCTTTCAAATCCTTATCAGAGTCCAACTCAACTCTTTAATCCTCCATTATATTATAAATGCCTGATATTCCATTCTTCCCAATCACTTATCTCTCTAGCCAAACCATAGAAATCAGAGAAAAAGCCTTCTTTCCAAGAATCAGAAAGAAACATTATAAGTCGCTGATTTGAGAAGCTCATTAAGTATTGTTTGTGTCAACATGTCAATGGAGAACGGAGAAGAGTATGAATATGAAATACCAATAGGATATAGATTTTGTCCAACTGATGAAGAACTCATTACTTATTACTTGCTCACAAGAATCTTGAATCATTCACTCCCCTCCAATGACTATGTCAAAGAAGTAGATATATATAAGCACACTCCTGACGAACTTCAAGGTAATTTCTCTTCTTGTCACTCCACGTAGTTTCGTCTTTATTAACATAAATAAATTTACATATATATACACAACAGCACTCGTTTGATAATATATGTTGCTGATTTGATCAATATAATACATAGAGTTGGCCGATGAAATTGCACCGCCATTTCATGTTAGCCATTTGCTGTTGTTGTTGTTGTTGTATTTTTTTTTTTAAGAATTGTTTTCCCTTGTATACTGTATAGTAATAATACAGTTCACTTGCTATATATCTACAGAGAAATATGGCACGCGCAGAGAAGTTGAGATGTATTTTCTCACCAAAAGAACGCCCATAAGTGCAACCGCAACTCGCCCCAGCCGTACCGTAGCTAAGGGTGGATATTGGAGAGCGAGTACTCAAAAGAAGCCCGTAAATGATTCAAATGGAAAAACAATTGGATATAAGACATTGTTCAACTACTTTCTTGCTAAAGGCAACATGTCGACTTGGCTTATGTACGAATATATCCCTCAATCCGGTTCCGCAAAGGTATTTATCAACATACATGATTTGAATACAAGAATTCAGTGTTGTTATAATTTGCCAGATAAATTTAGCAAATTGTTTTAATTACAAAGGCAACTAACTAGATCTTTATTTTTTCCACAGGTGGATGAATTTGTACTGTGCAAGATCTACAATAAAAGAAGTGAACAGAAGCACACAAATGCTGCTCGAAGGGAACAGCCTCGCCGTAACATGATGCAGCCACAAGCACCAATTACTTATCAAGTCGATGACGTCGTACTTGCTGAACCGAACGTTGCGCCACAAGCACAGCCAACTTTTCAAGTCGATGATTATGTCCAAAGCGTGCAGCCTCAAACACTTACTCATGAATATTCTCTCAATAATATTGAGTGCTTCACAATGGAAGAACTTTGTCGAATGGCCGGGATTGTTTCCTCAGAGGAGCCTAATTATGTATGTGATTATCAACCTCCGGTTCCGCAACAACCTGCTTGTGACATTCCAACTCATGACGATCTACAATTTAGTCGACAATACATGGAGGCACAACAACAAGAACCTTCTTCTATTATTCTTAGCGATGTTGATGTCGAATTTGCACAAGAATTGGAGGCACAACTACAAGAACCTTCTTCTGAAACTCTTAGTGATCTTCATGTTGAATTTGAACAAGTATTGGAGGCGTGGACTCTTAAAGTTGCAAAACAATTTGAGTCACAATGGCAAGAACCTGCTTATGATTTCTCACATGATGCTGATCTTCATCGTCACAAAATTAGAAGATTAGCGTCAGCATGAATAAGCATCTACATGTTTAGAAAGGTTTCTTCTGTTCCTTCAATAAATATAGCGGGTTTTCCCGAATTCTCTTTGTTGTATAAGGAACACAAAGACTGTGATGGACATTAGCATCAGCATGTACTTCTTCGTCCGATCATAGTTATATTCTGCAGCAACAAGTAGACGTAGCTCTCACAATTCTCTGTGTCTTTTGTTTTCTTTTTTTCCTACTTGTTTTAAGCTTATCGTTAACTGTAGAAATTTGGACATTTAATTCCTAGTATGGTTCACGTACAATTACACATAAAAAAAAAAAGCGTATATTACTATCACATCAACATTATAACATTCTACTCCTGATGAACAAATCGTTTCAATCGTTTGATCCAAATTTTATGATTGAGATTCCGTAACAGAATTCTATAAGATGTAATTTCACATCTTAAATTCCATTTTCAAATATTTTTTTCAACACGCTTCAGATCAGGAACTCGGATTCTGATTTTTTTCATTCTCTACCCCAAGCTAATATTTCAATTTTGAAATATTTGGTTCATATGATAGTATAGTTGTTTTTTGGTTTATTTAAGACTTAAGATTGAAATAAGAATACACAAAAAATTCAAAACTCAAGGTATAATTGATATCCAAAGATATCTTACAAAGTCAATTAGAAGTTCATACTAAAGAGGTGGTTAATAAAACTAGTAATATAGGAAAGTCAAACGACTACAAACCGATATTTATAAAATACATTAGTCCTCTGCCTCTTAATAACAGTACAATCCCAATGTTGCAATTCAGGAAGTAACACAGAAAAAGGGCGCAGATGTTATATCTATATATATGTGTGTGTGGGGTTTCAATGGATACTTCATTATTTAGTATTTACTCATCTGTGGGTATTGTTGGTTTAACCATAACATAATGATCCGGCGGTTGTGATAAAGTGGGGGATTGATGCAATTAAGCAATTTGGATTCTTATCACTCTTGATGGACAAATCATTTGGATCCTTTTATTAAAATTTTATTCATTGCCAACTCTGTTCAAAACATGCTGTTAATGTCTTGCCCTATCACAATATCTTAGTTATTGAGAGAAGATATAACACGTGGACAAGATATTCACGCCTAGAAATAGATTGATAGGAACTGAAAGTTAGTTGGTTAGGTGATTGTTTAATTGTCGGTACTTGTTAGTATTTTCTTAAGTAGTTTGTTATCAGTTCATTAGAAGTGTTAGTATTATAAAAGGGTAGTCAGGAGGATTAAAAATTAATTAGTGTAAATTTGGAAAAATCCTTTGAGAGGACAAGCAGACCTCTCGAAAGTCTGCAAATCTTTGTTGAAATCACGTTTGGTTCTTTTTTTCAATAATAAAATTTCTAGGTTTTTATCATAGATCTTCTGTAGAACTTTAATAATTAGTACAATACGATACAAAGACCAACACTGGTAAGCAGTTACACATAAATTTAGTAACAATGCAATATTATTACTCAACACAATTTCAAGCTTTCGTGACAAATATTAGGGTGAACAACATCTGTGTCGTAGGTTTTTTTCTTTTTTCTTTTTTCTTTTCTTCTTCTTTTTTTTTTTTTTTTTTGGGTTTTTTTTTTTTTGGCTGAATATTTTGTCCCCAGTGTCCGGATGATGTCCTTTCCTGAGTATGTAATAGCTTTTTCTGTTGATGTCGTTGCCGTTTCATAGTCATTGTCATTTTCCTCATTCAGTGTCGTTTTTATATATTTTACTGTCACCCTCTCATGTTAATGTTGTTTTGCCTCAAAATCTCTGCTTTGATCTTCGGCCAAACAGCAATTGCCACGAAAACATCCACGACAAAAAGGAAATTACTCATATTTCGAATAGCTAGTACCATTGAAAACATATGTGGGGAGATTTAACTGTTAGTATTTTTTTTATAATAAAAATTTTTATTGTTGTTTATTTTAACTTACTAATTTAGCTTTATTTTACTACTAATTTGTCGTTTGTCTTAGAGGAAATTTTACTATCGTTTTGTAAGTGCACTATAAATAGTCACATTAGCTATTGCGATAGAGGGACTTGATTATTGATGTTGAACACAAAGTGTTGAATGTTTTTCTCCCATTTTAGGATTTTTATTTGCTAAGTGATTTTTAGGAATACTTCTTAGTTAATTTTATCAATCTTGTAGTATAAGCTTCTTATTAAGCTTACTACATACGTTTTTACCATGTACATATATATGCTTATATTCTATTATTCAGAGTAATGAGAATAATATTCCTCTCTGCCCAAACTGTTTTTCTTCCGCAATATGGTATCAGAGAAGAAATTTTTTTGATTGATTTTCCTTTTCTTCCGCTGATTTTCTCGTTTTTCCTCTGATTCTTCCCGGTCATTCGAGCTTGTTTGTTCTATTTTTTTTTATCGGAATCCATGGCTACTCAAGTTCCGGATTTTTCTTCCTCGTCAAACGGCAGATCCGTCATTGATGATCCTTCGAGTTCATTTTTCCTTCATCATTTTGATGGTCCAGGACTCGTACTGGTGTCTCAACTCCTCATTGGTGATAATTACGCTTCTTGGAGCAGAGCTATGCTAATTGCTCTCTATGTCAATAACAAGCTAGGGTTTCTTGATGGATCTATCGAGAAACCGGAAGGTTCAGATCTGATTCTTCTCAATTCATGGATTCGTAACAACAATCTTATGATTTCAAGGGATTCTGAACTCGGTCTCTAAAGAAATTTCAGCTAGCATCATCTTTTCTGAATCGGCTACTAAAATTTGGCTTGATCTCAAGGACAGATTTTCACAGAGCAATGGACCTCACATTTTTCAACTGCGTCGAGAGTTCATCAATTTGGCTCAAGATCAACAATCGGTTAGTGTTTATTTCACAAAACTGAAAGCTTTATGGGAAGAATTGAGCAATTTCAGGCCCGTATGCTCGTGTGGAAAATGTTCTTGTGGGGTGTCAAGGCACTTCATAATCACTATCAAATGGAGTATATAATGTCTTTTCTTATGGGACTTAATGAGTCGTTTGCTCAAGTGCGAGGCCAAGTATTACTGATGGATCCTCTTCCGGCCATAAACAAGGTTTTTTCCTTGATTTCACGAGGAACGTCACAGGAAAGTGAGCTCACAGTCTTTCTCAACTGGAGATTTGAGCCATTCCATGGCATTTGCGGCAAAGAATGATTCTTTTGTCAAGTCTAGTAATGGTCCTTTTTCAGCTGCTGGCAACAAGAACCAAAAGAAAGATCACCCTTTTTGCACTCATTGTAATTACCATGGTCATACTATTGACAGATGTTACAAAATACATGGATATCCTCCCGGTTTTAGGCAATGGCAGAAGCCTCCATCACCTGCTAATCAACCTGGTGTGGTGAATCAAGTTTCTAATCATATGGCTGCTGGAAGTTCTGATTGCCAGAATGGCAATGATGGGAATGCTGGGAATCCTCTTCAGAATCTGACCAGTGCTCAATGTCAGCAACTGATGGCCTTACTCTCTAGCCAATTGAGTTTTGTTCGCCAACAGGATTCTCCCAATGATCCTTCCTCTTCGTTTGTCATAGGTACTTGTTTTTCTGTGTCAATGTCTCCAGTTTTATCATCTCCATTGTTATGGATTGTGGACTCAAGGGCTTCAAGGCATATTTGCTTCAATGCTCATGATTTTATCTCTATGAAACCGGTAAAAAATTCCATAGTAACCTTGCCTAATCGAACTACATACCTGTTCATTATTCTGGTGATGTTAGACTCAGTCCAACTTTATTGCTTAAGGATGTTCTATTCGTACCTCAGTTCACCTTTAACTTGATTTCAGTCAGTGCCATTACCAGTGCCTCTATGCTCACACTTGGTTTCTTTCCTGATCATTTCACGATTCAAGAAATGTACAGCAAGAGGAAGATTGGCAAGGGTAGAAAGCTTGAAGATTTATATGTTTTTGAAATGACAAATACAGATGTTGCATTGAAACACAATCACTCTATAGCATACACTAATAATGTGTCAATAGATACTTGGCACCATAGACTAGGTCATTTGTCCCATAAATGCTTAGACATGTTGAAAGGTCAACTGTCTTGTACCCATTTCCGTTTTGATGCTACGACTCCATGTTACATATGTCCTTTAGCTAAGCAAAGGAAATTACCTTTTGTATCTCACAATAATATGTCAAAGTTTCCTTTTGACTTAATACATTGTGACATTTGGGGTTCATACAACTTGTCTTCCTATTCAGGCCATCGATATTTCTTAACTTTGGTGGATGATTGTACTCGCTTTACTTGAGTTTTTTTGCTCAAACATAAAAGTGATGTTTCTGTGGCTATACCTAGATTTTTCAATCTTATTGCTACTCAGTTTGATAAGAAAATCAAAGAGTTCAGATTAGACAATGCGAAGGAGCTGGCTTTTACTAACTTTTTCGATAATGAAGGTGTTATTCATCAGTTTTCATGTGTGGAAAGGCCACAACAAAATTCTGTTGTTGAACGAAAGCATCAACATTTGTTGAATGTGGCGCACACGTTGTATTTTCAGTCTCAGATTCCTCTCACTTTTTAGACTGATTGTGTTCTCACAACTGCTTTCCTCATCAACAGAACTCCTTCTCATGTTCTCGGCAACAAGACTCCAAATGAGCTTTTGTATCAAAAGACGGTTGATTATTCTCTTCTTCGTGTCTTTGGTTGTCTTGCCTTTGCTTCCACACTTACAGCTAACTGTACCAAGTTTCAGCCTCGTGCTCGTATCTGTGCATTTCTTGGTTATCCTCCTGGCATGAAAGCCTATAAGCTTTATGATGTTCAGTCTAAACAGGTTTTATTTTCACGGGATGTTGAATTAGTGGACCCGTTTCCTGATTTGGTTTTGCCTACCCCTGTTCATGACATTATAGAAGCAGTTCCGCCTGCTCTTGTTGCTGATTCTCGACCAGGTCAACAAATTCCGCCTGATATTCCTTTCAGGCATTCAGCCAGGATGGTTCAACCACCTTCATACTTGTGAGATTTTCACTGTAACTTGGCTTCTCATACTTCTAAGCTGCCCTTGGCCAAGGTTCTTTATCCTTTGTCCAATTGTCTCTCTTATGATAATCTTTCTCCTGTTCACAAGCATTTTGTCCTTAATGTTTCTTCTCAGTTTGAACCACAATATTATCATCAAGCTGTCAAATTTTCTCAATGGCGTGAGGCCATGCGAGCCGAGTTGGACGCTATGGTTTCTAATCAAACGTGGTCTGTTGTTCCTTTACCAATCGGAAAACATACCATTGGCTGTAGATGGATTTACAAGGTTAAATACAAGTCTGATGGTTCTATTGTCAAGCACAATGCTCGTTTAGTTGCTAAAGGTTACACATAACGGGAAGGGATTGATTATGTTGAAACTTTTTCTCCAGTTGTTAAGTTAGTTACGGTCAAAGTTCTCTTAGCCCTTGCAACTTGTCAAAATTGGGATTTGGTTCAACTTGATGTTAACAATGCGTTTCTTAATGGTGATCTTTTTGAAGAAGTTTATATGGATCTGCCCTTAGGCTATCATCGCCAGGGGGAGACCTTGGGGCACAATAGGAAACTGGTTTGCAAGCTTCACAAGTCTATATATGGACTTAAACAAGCTTCGCGACAATGGTATTCTAAATTTTCTTATTCGTTGATTCGTTTTGGCTTCACTCAGTCTAAAGCGGATTATTCTTTGTTTACAAAAGGGACTGGTTCTTCCTTTCTTGCGTTGCTAGTGTATATAGATGATATCATCATCACCGGTCCATCTAAATCTAGCATAGCTTCTTTGAAACAATTCCTCCACAGCCAATTCAAGTTGAAAGATCTTGGTTCATTAAAATACTTTATTGGCCTTGAAATTGCTAGGTCTTCCACGGGCATTGTTCTTTCTCAACGTCACTACACCCTGTAACTTTTGGAAGACGCTGGTTTTCTTGCCTGTAAACCTGCAACAGTTCCTATGGATCCTCGCATCCGTCTCACTACTACCGATGGCGATGAGTTGCCTGATGCTTCTTCCTATCGTCGTCTTATTGGAAGGTTATTGTATCTTACCTTGTCTAGACCAGATATCACTTTTGCCGTGCATAAGTTGAGTCAGTTTCTTGCTCAACCTCGGGCTCATCATCTTCATGCTGCGCATCATCTTCTTCGGTACCTTAAAAATAGTCCTGGCCAAGGTTTGTTTTTCTCTGCTTCCTCGTTGTTGCAACTCAAAGCTTTTTCTGATGCAGATTGGGGATCCTGTGTTGACACTAGGTGCTTCGTCACTGGTTATTGTGTCTTCTTTGGTGATTCTCTTGTTTCTTGGAAAGCCAAGCTGCAGCCCACTGTTTCTCGATCCTCGGCTGAAGCTAAGTATCGTGCAATGGCTGCTACCGCTAGCGAATTGATATGGTTTAGGCAATTGTTGTTTGACTTTGGTGTTACATTGGCTGCTCATATGCTCCTGTTTTGTGACAATCAAGCCGCTGTTCACATTGCTTCGAATCCCACTTTTCATGAGCGGACCAAGCATATTGAGATTGATTGCCATTTTGTTCGTGACAAGCTAGCTGATGGCTTCATCAAGCTCATGCCTATTCGTTCTAATCTTTAGCTAGCTGATGTGGTCACCAAGCCATTGCCTTCTACTCTTTTGTTTCCTCATTTATCCAAGATGGCTGTGAAAGATATTCACTGTCCATTTTGAGGGGAGTTTTAGGAATACTTCTTAGTTAATTTTATCAATCTTGTAATATAAGCTTCTTATTAAGCTTACTACATACGTTTTTACCATGTACATATATGTGCTTGTATTCTATTATTCAGAGTAATGAGAATAATATTCCTCTCTGCCCAAACTGTTTTTCTTCCGCAATAGTGATTATCAATTATTTGCTACTCAATACATCAATTTAAGATTTTTTAATTACATTTACTCAATAAAATATCATTAATACAACCAAGTATGATTTAACTTTTTTATTATAATCAAAAAAATCTTTTAAAAGAATTAACAAAAGCAATTTTAAAATCGGTCTTAGCATGATTCTAAAAACAATTTCATTTTCACTTTTACACTCAAAATAAAACTATTTTAAAAACACTACCGAACGACGGATCGACATCTACCTTTTTTTAGTGGACTGGACCGTGTATTTTTTTGTCTATCATTATTCAGCAAAAGTGGACATTGCTCTTATATTGAGTGAACCACTATAAATCTTGTGTGTGTATATTGTTTATTGTTTTTCTTCTTATTTTCAGGATTTTTTTTTTTTATAATTGTAGCTCATTTAATTCCCAACATATTTCATGGACAACCACGAGCATCCAAACAAGCCTTTTTTGTTCCCCACTCAAAGTATCAACCAAAAAAAAAAAAAAAAAAAAAACATGGCAAAACAAAATAACAAAGTTTACTTAGTTCAACTCTTCCCCAATGTCCATTACAAAAGTACGTAGATATCTAAGATGTTTTTCTACTCCAAATGTTGGCGATTAAAACTGAACTCTTCTCCAATGTACTATTGCAAATTTGATTTCCCTCGAGAGAAAGAAACATGAGGAAATATATAGTTATGGCCTTGTGAGCTTTTGAGGCAAAAAGGGAACTCTATAAGCATTTGTTGTACATAAGTTGAAGAATCTTAAAATTAAAATTAAAATAATAAAAATAATAAAAAAATAAAGAAGAAGAATAAGCTTTTCATGAACTTTCTATAAAAAAAAAAAAAACCTCTCATGTAATGGAATACTCAAGACAATAATTGATTTTTATCTTGCTAAAACAATTCCAAAGTTCCACATAATGATTCTATAATGACTGTAAAATAGCACACCAAGTAATTACATTAAACCTCAAAGTATCAATAAGTGACTTTCGCCAATGACTCATAACCGCTATTCACAGTAAACTTGGAGCTTAAAAAGTTTTTGAAGAAAAAAAAAAAAAAAAAAAAAAAAAAAAAAAAAAAAAGAAAGAGAGAGAGAGAGAGATGCTATGAACACAAGGCTTGATCAGAAGAATATGTCCTCAAACACCAACTGCAACTTCCGGAGGCATGATCTCTTGAGCATGTGGAATATGTTCCGGCGCATTCGTTTCGGGATCTTGGTTGATCTTCGCATTTTGGTCCTGGCCTTGTTCAGTTTCTCTAAGGCATTCTTTATCGTTTTGTCTTTCTTTGGTGGCAGATTTTGACTTCGTCTTGACAGGCTTAGGCTCGGCTTTGCTGGCTGCGGTTTCTTGAGAGTGAAGCATAGGCTGCGACTTCCTAATTGGCTTCTTTGAATCAGTGACTTCTTTTTCAGACCCCTTGTTTGAATTGTTCTGGTTCTGGTTTACTCGTGGAGTTAAAGTTGCACCACCTTCTAGAGAATTGGAGTTCTTGTGCCTTCCAAGCTTTGGTGATATTGCTCGTGTAGTTGGTATCTGAGATAATTAATGAGTAGATATATATGCAATGTTATAATGATGTTATTATATGTAAAAAAAAAGTATGAATTTAAAACTATAGACAACAAGGTCCAATTACCTTTTTCAGTTCAATTTTTGGAGGAGGCTCTCTATAGAAGTTTGGCATCGGTGTTGCTTTAAATGTCATGCTCTTCCTTAATAGCTTAATCTCAGCCTCCTGGTTTTCCTGCAAATGTGTGAAAAAAGTGTGAAAACACAAAATAATAAGCAAATAAATAGAGAGAGAAGAGAGAACTTTCAAGTATGAAAAGTTTATTAGTGTCCCCGCCAACACCTTTGATTTTGCTTGCTGATTAGTTTTTTCTTCTTCCTTTGCCTGAATCTTCTCTTCTAGCTTCGAAAAGAACTGAACCAACAATGAGCGGAAAACAAATTAGATTTAACATTTGAAATTATTTCACTCTTGGAAAAAAAAAACAATATGGTAAGTAAGAGTGATTTCAATCAACCTCCTTCCTCTTTGCAGCGCGTTCATCCAACCTGAAGGCAAATCCCAAAGCGCTGCGAGAAGTTGTGGTTCTGATGTTTGTACAGAAAATCATGGAATCTCAGCACAAAGTCAGTAAATTTTAGGTGCATAAAGTAAAGAGAAGAGCAACAAATAACAAAAAGAAATCATCTAGAATCATACGAAGTAGTGGAATGAGCATCATCCTCATCTTTACTTTGCTGAGCAGTTTTGACAGGAATAGGCTCTTTGTCAACTGATCTGCAGAGTTGCAAATGAAACTATTGAATAATATTTATCTTTATACATAACGCACTTTTGGAACGAATTAAAGCTCTAGTCCTTTACTACCGAGTATAGAAGAAAGACAAGAAAGCACACGCAATATATAGAGCTACATTCAATTTAAGCCGTTGCCTTAAGTTTCAATTGAATCATACATCTCACGCTTGCGAGACTCTTCGTATTTTTCTCTAATTGATTCCCAAAACCGACACCCGCCCAATGTAAGTCAAATTAGAGAAACCGAAACTACATTTATGAAAAACCCAAGGTAACACTACGTCAGGCCGATGATTAGGCTCTACACATTCAACATTTTCATCTAGCTAAGATAGTATGAAGATATCCCCACTTGCAATTTTGAACTTCAAACAGACACTAGCAAAATGATCACAAATTTTTTAGTTGGGGAAGTAGATTGTGACTTACAAGGATGTTTCAGATGGAGGGCAATTAGCCGTTGCATTTACAGAACCAAGCTTCCCAGACTGACCAAATCATTAAATAAATAACAGAATTAGTGACATAAACAAGTGTACTGAACTAAGAACAGAAGAAAATACAGAAAAATAAGAAAGAGATCCTTACTGAAGACTGTTTAATGCTAGAAACTGATGTCAAGGTAGCCCTCCGAGCAGTAGCACCATTAGGTTTGGTTTCTTCCTTTGGTTGTGCTCCAGCAGAAGCACGCCTATTGGGACGGTTCAAAGAAGAAGCTGAAGTAACTGTTCCATTGGTGGCAATAGGCTCAGCTCTAGTCCCATTTTCTCGGGCAATTTTGGCTTCTCTTTTCACTAGTAGCCCATCAACACTTTTCTTCATGCCATCGCCACGAGCTCCTCTTGCAGGGAAGGAAAGGCTCTGAGAAAGAACTGCTCTTTGGTTGCAAGAAGGCAGATTTGTACTCTTCGACTGCTTAGTAGCTTTGGTGTTCTTTGAGACACCATTGTTTGAAGCATTAGAATACTGTCCACAAAAACACAAATTAGAGAATGGAAAGGAAAAGAGGAAGACGGGGGGTGGGGGAAAGACTAATCACAATAACTAGTTTTACCTTCATAATTTTTGAAGTTTTACCAGGAAGAGCAGTCACAGAGGCCTTAGTTGCAACAACAGAAGAATCTTTGCCATCATTGACTTTTACAGGTTCAGATTTTCCATTTGTTGTAGGAACTTTTTCTCCAAGATCAGCATTTTTTCCCTTTTTGTTTGAATCGATATGCGATTCTTCCACACGGTTTTCCTCAACCACAACACATTTCTCATCCTCCAAAGCGACCACCCCGTTTTCGGATTCCATTGAAAAAATGCTTAATTGTGCAAATGAAGAGGAATATTAGCAGCAGAAGCAATGTTCATATCATGCAAACTAAATAATGAAGAGAGAAACTATGAATAATGGTTAAAGAGTAATTTAAGCAAACAGATACAAGGCTTTCATGTTTCATTTGGTTTTTTTATTATTAATTACCTAAATAGTAAATTTCCAAAACTAAATAAAAGTTTATGCAAATGCCGTAGAAAGCAGCAAAACAAAGACCCGAAAATTAAGGGGAAAGGAAATTTTAAATAATTGAACATGAGATCTACAAGATTTAACATAATTCAGACAGGCCAAAAACATCAACGTCTCAGTGCTGCCCTGTACAAGAACAAGAATCCAATGCCATACCTTCATAAAAACAATATATGCAGAGAGAGAAAATTCTGAATCTTCTGGAAAACATATTCTAACTATTTTCCTTAATGTCCTGGAAAATAAGGAGCCACGTTTTAAAACATTAATTGCTTTTCTTCTTTGAACAAAATTCATGAACAGAACCAAATTGAATTTCTGTTTGGATGCAAAGAAAATGCTCTAGAAAGTCAGATCACAATGCATAATTGCTCCTACACACCCACAAGAGACAGACACAATTTCTTTTCATGTCAAATAATCCTTAAATACTCCTCAGAAAGAATAGTCTCAAACTTAATCCACTTCCTGGATCAAAACAAAAAAAAAACACTCTTATTTCCACAGAATCCTGCAAAACATTGTTTATTTTAATATTTTAAACTTAAAGAAAACAAAATGAAACTCATACCAAATAAGAGAAATGCGTAGTTATTCCAACCATTTAAAAACTTTCTTCGGATACCACATTTTGAAGAAACAGAACAAAGATTCATGAAACTACCATATTTTGTTAATTTTTCATCAAACTAGAACATACCCAGATTAGAACACATAAAATCTAAGATAATTCAAAAAAAAAAAAAAACGTCTGAATTAAGTCAATATAACGAATCAGAACCGGCCAAAAAAAAACAGAGCAGTAACTGTTATAAATCAAAGAAAGAAGAAAGAACATACAAGATTATGTAGATTCCGAACTCGGGTTCTGGTTATAATCTTTCAATTATTTATAGGCAAGAGAGAAAAGGACAGAACAACAATGATAACAAGGTTCAAATTATGGAAGATTTATGGATTGAATTCTATGGAAGAGTGAAGAATGAATGGATGAAGCAGAGAAAAGAGTGAAAACAGAGTGGAATAGAAGCACAAACACTTGGTGGGATTGTTGTTTTGAAGTGGATTTCCTTTTCTTTAATTTTTTCCTTTTTAGATAGTTGAGATTGAAAGCTACAGAGAGTTGGTGATGATGATACACTCTTCTCTATGGTGTGGTTTTTGGCCTTGGTTCGACAAACACGAAGAGAGAGGGAGAGAGAGAGAGAGAGAGTTGAGAAAATGACCTTTTCATGATGAAATGGATAGACAGATTGGCAAGATAATGTGGCAAATGACTGAACTGCCCCTCTCTGTCAGTTTTGTGTGTTTATGGTAATGTAACTGTTAAACGGTTTTTGAATTGGGTAACTGTTGGCGGTTTTAAAATTCTGAATGTGGTTGGAGGGACATGGGATTAATGGATAACACGTAATTGTAAATCTTAGCAAATAATATAATAAAGTTAAAGAAACAAAAACAAAAAAAACGAAAGTGAGATTTCATTTTTTATGTTTGCAGCTTTCTATGAGTAGTGTATGTTTATAAATATCGTTTAATCTGAATAACTTGATGCAGGAAAAAACAAAAAACAAAAAAAAAAAAAAAAAAAAAAAAAGCTAAAAATATAGCTTAACGAGAAAAATTTTCATTTTTGTTTTAACATTTGGTGTGAGAGTTTAATTATATAAATAAACAGTTTTGGAGTGTGAAACTGTGCTAATTGAAATGCAATATGATTCCTTATGGAATTCACTTCTGAATGCTTTTTTTTTTTTTTTTTTTTGAGAATAACTTCTCGATGCATTAATTTTTAGAGAAAAGTGGGGAAAAAAAGTCTTTTGGATGTATTATGTTTATAGTGTTAAGTGTAATAATTGTTTGGGAATGGTCCAATTCATACTTATAGATAAGAAAGTTGTTAGTTGGGCAATGGAAATTGAATCTTCTAAATTTGATTAATCTCATCGCTCCTTCTAGATTGAAGCAAAACTACCATTAATGTCAAACACTAACAAATCATGCTATATATGCCTTTTTGGCTGTAACCCATATGCTAAAAAGGTTATAGGAATAGGTTTTCTTTTTCAATTTGGGGATAAAAAAGGTGAAAACAAATGTATTAGCTTGATTAAATAGTAAACTCGGAATAATCTACAAGAATTAGCAACTTTATGCCATTCTTACCACTAGAACTTCCCTACTACCTTATCATAATTATGTTCATGACTCCCTTTTCATTAGGTCTTGGAAAAGACTAATATAAGATTATATATACACAAGACAATTTTATTAGGAGATATCTAAAATTTCATTTTGGGTCATTTTCCTATAGTTGGTGATTTAACTCTTTGGATCACGATTATTGGATGTATCTTATCAATACCAAACAATGTAAATTAAAAAATGAAAAAGAAAAAGAAAAGGAACCTTAAAATTGGGAACAATTTGATTAGGTAAAGATTAGCCCTCAAATTAACATCTAAGCAAAAAATTCAACTCCCATCATTCACAAAAGTGAGTAAGGGGTATTATTGTAAAACAGTTTCATGCAGAGAAATGTAATGGAGGGGCAAAATGGTCAAATGGAGGAGAGACCCAATGATTGAAAACAACCGAAGGACACTGTGGAAGAACGTGGGGAGAGTTCATGTGTGTTGGAGTCTCAGGTGGTGGCGTTGTCCTTCTCAATGACGTGGCAAAACAGAGGAACATGATTGGTCTCACGTTATGCCAACCTGGACAAGTACCCCACCACGCCCACCTACCGGCGTGAGCTGTAAGAACGTGCGTTTGGAGAGGAAGGTAATGAAGGCTGGCTCTTTAGCGAGCGAGATACAATCTCGTCCGTTCAATTTGTGAGGGTCCAATCGGAAGCCACGTGTCCGTAGACCCCACCTCCAAACATCCCCACCTTTGAAATTTTGTTTTGATTTTGGATTTTGTGGGTGGTACGTAGCATTCAAAAAGCTAGGCTGGCCTCTCTCTCTCCCTCCCTCTAAAATGTCCACTTCATGATGATTTGCAAATTTGGGTCGTGGGCACAAGAAAACTAATAGATTTTTTATTCAACTTTTTTTTTCTCGTTTTAGAAAAACAAACATTTTTTTTTTCTAATGATCCTCACATTAAACAAATATCATTTGGGATTCATGGTTTCATGCATGATACAATTGAGGCATATAATATTTAAGAAATTGCTAGAAGTCACATTGTTCAATGGGATTGGCAAATGAGCCGAATTATAATGGTTTTTTGAAGGAAAAAAAATGAAAAAAAAAACACACACACACACACACAATAGTACATAGCTATCCTTCAAGAGAGCATGACTAGTTTATTCTATTCCGGATATGGTATAAATTTTCTTATTTAGTGCATACGCTTTTATAAGGGAAAAATATGTGTAAGTGAAAATTTAGGCCCCGTTCACTTCGCTGATTCGAGTTTAGAATTTGGGATTTCTTATGTGCCATTTGATACAAAAGGGATAGAAAAAAGAGTGAGGAAGAAGACATAACTTCTTAATTGTGAAAACTTCTCCATGTGCCTCGTTTGGCTTGGTAGATGTTACTATGGTGGTTACCCCACATAGGAAAATATTATATATATATATATATATATATATAGAGAGAGAGAGAGAGAGAGAGAGAGAGAAGTCTCTCTTGACATCTATGCCCTACCCCATCTCATGCAAATGGAAATAATGAAGGCCATTGGGAACTCTTAGGAGTTCCATCAAGTGAGACAATCCTTTCTTGGCATAAAAGGGTCCAATAAAATTTTCAGGCAATACTTTTGTGTGAGAGAATGAAGACATATATAATTGACTGCCTACACTGTAACATGGAGCTCATGGGGTGTTTTGAAGGCTCTATGCAGCTTGTCCATTAGTATAGAACAAATTGTTTTTTTTTTATTATTTATTTATTTTATTATCAACTAGAATTGTCCCGTTATGGAACATTATTTATTTTTTAGTGTTGTCTTATCCTAGGATATCTATTTGTATTCTATGCGTTTTCAAAGGGTATCTTATATTTAAGGGCTCATTGTTGTTTTGTTAGGGATGGCGTGGGGCAGCCTGTTTACGGGTCATTGGCTCCAACCGTGCGATTAAATCTGGACTACTTATAAACTATGTACAATGAATTTTATTGCGGTCATTGACCGTAATCTAAGCATTATATTTATCGTTTGATTTAAACTGTATAGTGTAACTCGATGTAGCACGTATCATAGGGTGTCCACTATAAATATTCCTCACTTTTTACATATCTTTTAACTTTTAAAGACAATTTAACTTACAAGGACAGGAATTTGTTTACTTAATAAACAAAAATTTAGTTAGTTGGTCAAGCTTGTCATTAACAGTAAAAGAACATTACATCAAATCTCCTTCCTCATCCTTTCAATCTTTTTATTTTTCTTTTTCAGTTTTCAGTGTCTAAACAGAACAGCTTACCACACTTTTGGTTCCCCCACTCTTGCTAATCTAATTTAGTTGAGGATAATTTGGGATATGACATTGTTTGTAGTCCTATTTTACTTATTTATGGGGGGCCAAATGATAGTTGAAACTCTCCAAAAATCAATTTGATTGCCCAAATATGCATAGGAAGAGCTGATTGAAAGTATGTCCTTAAAGCATAATTTGGGTGCCCCACTTTGGTATGGTTTTATTGTTCCACATCTATTTGACCCCAACAAGCAAAACCTCACTTGTTCAGTTGTTCTCATCTTTAATTTTTTTTTTTTATTATTTCATAATCCTCTTTGCTTCAAATGTCCTCTAATGGTACAAATGCCAATTTTGCTTTGCAAAACTATGTTAATCCAAAACCATAATTGAAAATGGAAACTTTCCAAGCACATTATTCAAAGTCAGGAAAAAAAAATGAAAAACGCTATTTTTGTTTCGTATAAGAGCAGAAATATATATCACCCTTGAATGGGATGGTTTTTTATATATATATATATTAGTTAAGTGTTATAAAAGAGACATTCTCTTTCTTTCATACAACATATAATTATTCATTTGGTTATGGAATGATAACTATTAGATAATGTCATTTGAAAGCCTCATTCCACCAACCACTTCTACTAGAAGCCAAGCAGTCTCTCTCTCTCTCTCTCTCTCTCTCTCTCTCTCTCTCTCTCTCTCTCTGTGGCTAGCTAAGAATTTGAAGGAAAGGTTCATGATTTACAAAGGGATCTTCAACAAAAGTGCAGCCTGACAATAATCTGTCGGCAGTACAAGTTCGGAGAATGAGGAGTCATCTAAAAGCTAGTACCTGACGCATCCATGAAGGCCTTTTCCATCTTCTATTTGACAAAAGGGGGGAAAGAAAGCATTTGGAAATAAAAAGAATAAAAAGTTTTACTGATTTAGGGAATTTGACATTCCACTATAGACTTTAATCTAACTTATAGTTTGATCAAAATTATTTCCAAATGTGCTATCTCTCATCTCCAAAAACCTTCCTAGAATAGAGTAAATGGACGATCTAAAACCCGCCTATTATTTATGTTAAAACAAATGGGAAAAGGACTGACCTTACTCTTAGTCTCATTCTCATCCAATGGCCCGCCAATCCTAACTAAAGGAAGGAATGTGATAAGGACCGATTTTTCTCAAAAAAAATTTAAAAAAACAAAACTTTTCTTTTTCTACAACCATATCTTAATCTTACTTTATAGAGCCGACTTCAATCAAGTATAACGTTCTACATAACTAGAGACTGGTAGAGGATCACCAATTTCTTGTCCTTTTTTACTAGAGTTTATGATGTTTAAAAGAAAATGCATACACATGGTTGATCATCATGTGTCTGTCTTTGTGCTTGTAGTTGTCTTGGAGGAAGAGAAGCAAAGGACTTGTTTTCCTTTCACATATTATTTGAGAGTGTAACACACCATTTGATAAAATTTTCCCTTCACATATATTAGTCACGACATTCGTTTTTATAAGATTCATTCTCACGGAATAAATTCTCATCACTCACACAATGATGAGTCTCACCTACTCACCTAGCAGGACTCACTCTATATGAGACTATGGGCCCGTTCGGTTCACTAATTCGAGTTTTTAATTCGAGTTGAGATGTAATGTTATGTGAGAGCTTTTTACTGTAGCAAAAAAAAAAAAAAAAATTAAATATGACTGTTTCTGAGAGCTTTTTACTGTAGCAAAACTCGAATTCTAAACTCGAATCGGCGAAAAGAACGGGGCCTATGAGTAAAGGAGTTTCATCATCGTGAGGATGAAAATGATTGCTTAATCGTTTTATAAACAAAATCTAATCGAAACACTTCGTAAGTGAGATGATTGGATAGGCTACAAAATTTAATCGAAACACTTCGTAAATGAGATGATTGGATAGGCTAAAGCTGTATAGATTCACAAAAAAAAAAAAGAATTTTTTTCCTTCCTTTTCTTTCCTTTTTTTTTTTAATAATAGAAAAGGTGTTCTATATTAACAAACAGGCAGTGGCTCCCTAAATCCAACACTAAAACTACTAGTCTTTAGACTCTTCTTACCCAAATCAGCATCGCCTTTCTGCATCATGGCTACGAATTCATTGTAATCTATTCGACCATCCTGAAAACATATATAAAATAATAGACAACATCAATACTTTATTTTTATTTTTATTTTTTTGGTTGGGGGGGTGGGTTGAGGTTTCAAATAACATTAATACTTATAAAAACAAGATATGAATTACAATGAAGATCAATATAATTAAGGATAAGGAATATCATAATAAAAAGAAAGTGCTTACATTATCCTGATCAGCTTCTCGGATAATTTCTTCCAAGTGGAAATCCTCAATGCCAAACTCCTCACAGGCGTGTTGAAGCGCATCTTGAGTGATGTAGCCACTGCCATCTCTGTCAAAATATGAGAAAGCTGCTACCAGATGATCTTCCCTATCAACTTTATTTATATGCAATGTTGCGGCTATGAACTCTTTATAGTCAATTGTGCCACTATTATCTACATCTGCCTGCAGTTCAAGAGAAAAGTACCATTGGTATCATAAGTCGAAAAGCTTTGTTTTTTAAGCACGTGGGCGGCCCCATAGGTGGACCCCACCACTGTTTGAATAACGGGATGCCCTCCAGTCGACTATTTTAGTATTGCTCTTAAAATTCATGGCCTAACAAATGACCATTTGGATTTACAGATCTTGTGGACATATAAACATAGGCTAGGAGAAATACTAGTAGCACATTTATTAACTACGAGTAAAATTAAAATAGAAAATTTTTGCAAGGATAGGGATGATTTACATTTAAAATATAATTGAATAAATAACTTTTTCGGGTCTAAATTGCTACTGAGAAAGAGGGCATTTGGTTTACAGCATTGCATATGAGACCAGGATTATTCAAATACTTACTGCCTGCATAAGCTGATAAATTTCAGACTCATTTAAATTAGCACCAAATCTTTTCAATCCATCTTTAAGTTCTTCAAAAGTAATTTGGCCACTATTGTCGGTGTCTATCATTCTAAACATTTCTTTCAAGCCCGCAATTTCTTCGGCGGAGAGATGCTCGGCAATGACCTGCAAGCAACAAATTTAACATTAGGCAAGCACAACACAAGCCAAAATCTTAATCTTCTAAAACTTTGATTTATACTATTGACCAACACTTTGGATTGAATTGCTTTTGTGTGTAAGAAATTCCTAAAACTTACTCTGAGAGCCATTTTTTTAAGTTTGTTCATTGCAGAAAACTGCTTCAAGCGACTTAAGACCGCGGAATCAAGGGGCTTGTCTGGTGCCACTCCATCAACTTGAACCCAAGGGTGGCCTGCAGGGAATCAAAGCAACAAATTAGCTTCTAAAGTTCTCATAGCCCATGCTAAATATAACACTAATGTGAACTTCCATTCCAAATCCAAAAAAATAATTATTTCTCGCATTTTTGTAAATTTCAGGCTAAAAATCACTATTGACAAAAACAAGAAAAAGATGAAGAAAAAATTACAGAGAACTTCATGAGCAGTTGGCCGCTTTTTAGGGTCTCTATGTAGCATTTTCTTGACTAAATCTTTTGCACTGTCGGAGACACTAGGCCAAGGATCTGATGAGAAGTCAAGATCACCATGCAAGACCTCTTCAAATATGTCATGTTCGTTTTCTACAAAAGGAGCATAAAAGATATTGTATGTTACATTTACTTGCTTTGTGGATGAAACATGCCATTGAGTTATATAACGAGAGAAAACATATATATATATATATATATATATATATAGCAACTACAAGAGATCTGATAAAAGCATACCAGCCCAAAATGGAGGAACCCCACGTAAGAGAATGTATACAATCACCCCAGCGCTCCAAATATCGGCTTCTGGACCATATCGCCTGCACAGAATTTCCGGCGCGACGTAGTATGGGCTTCCTACCACATCGCTAAATACCTCCCCTGCCATTCGAGTGTGTCAATAACAAGACATGAAAAAAAGATGTAAAAGGGAATAGAACATTAAATGTTTAGAAAACGTGTTTCTTCGTACTTAAACAAAGAAAAACCATTGATGTGATGAAATTATTAAAGTACTAATGGTGAGCTAATTTCATTGATCTACATTATAAATATTGAAAGACCAAAGACACTGATTCTAATGGTAAAAATGTGATTGTAATCAATAACATAATGGAGGAACTTGAAAGCAAAGAAAGACTTGAAATATATACCTGGCTTGAAGAATACGGATAATCCGAAATCTATAGCCTTAAGTGGTGAATCCTCCTCCTCATTGACAAAAAGGAAATTCTCGGGCTTAAGATCGCGATGCATTACCCCCAAAGAGTGGCAGGCTTCTATGACACCAACAATAGTCCTTGTCAACTGAGCCGCCTTTCTTTCGGTGTAATGACCGCGCTTCACAATCCTATCGAAAAGCTCACCACCTGAACACAATTCCATCACAACATGGACCGCAACGGCATCCTCATAAGCCCCCTTGATCGATATGACATTCGAATTCCCTGCCAAGTGATGCATTATCTGAATCTCCCTTCTCACATCATCCACATCATCATTGGTGAGCAGCTTTCGCTTGGCGATCGACTTGCAAGCGTATTCCTTCCCAGTCCCTTTCTCCACACAAAGAAAAGTGGTCCCAAATTGGCCACTCCCCAACTTATGACCTAAATTGTAGTACTCCTTAAGATGACCAGTTTTGGTCTGCAAAACTGACTCTGCCTGGAGCCCTGCACTCGCCAATCTCTTGACATTGTGAGGCTTTTTCGGCCGTGTTGTCGGCTTTGCCGATTCCAGTTCTCTAATGGGTTCTCTTGGTTTAGTCTCTTCCTTGGACTTTTCTTGTGAAATCTCTACAATGACTTTTGTGGGTTCAAATGGTTTCTCATCATCATAATCCTTGACAATCTTTAGTATTTCTGGGGGTTTGTTTTGGACAATTTTTTGAGGTTCTGAATCTGATTGATCCTGAGTACTTGTGATTTCTTTACCAGTATGGAAAAACAAACAATCTGAGGAGGATTTAGGCCACCAAATTGAATTGGAAACTGATTGAAATAGCCCATCTTTCATAGCCCTTGAACTCACACAGTTATTTCCCATCTCTGAATCTAATATCTAATCCTTGTTGAACATCTAAAAGAACAATTGTAACATAAAGAAACAATTTATGAAAAATTTGGAGTGAAACAAGAATATAATAAATCCACTAAAAAAAGGGTACAATTAAAGTGTGAAAGTTTTGGGGAAATTCGCTCAAATATATGATAAATTAAGGCACAAAATTAATCAAAATCTGACCATATATTCACACATAAGGAAGGTAATCAAAGAGAGAAACTTGGACAAAGCCCACCAAAGGAAACTAATCGCATTGACGAATTCTAAATCATTCGGTGATTTTTTGGGGGGTTAATAAAGAAGAAGGAAGAATCAGACGAGGAAAAACAGGATGAAAGTGACAGAAAAGCAGACTCATAATAATAAAAGACGGAAGAAAAAAATGAACAACATGAGGAAACGGTCGTGTGTAGTATTTGAAATCTAGAAATGGGTTTTCGTTTTCCTCCCCTTTTCAAATGTTGTATATATGTGTGTCTCTGCGTGTGCGTGTGCGAGTGCGCGTATATATATATATATATATATATACGCGCAATACATGTACAGACACGGAAAAGGAAGGGGAGAGAGAGAGAGGAAGAGGGAAAAGTTTTACATAAAACAGGTTTTCCTGTTGGAATGGTTCCAAAGCTGCAGAGGACGCGTAAGTCTAATGTCATTTGTGTTCTGATTGGCCAATAGTACAATTAGCACCTTTTTGCCACTCGTGCGTGTTCCATTTATTTATTTGGGAATTAATTTTCTTTCTTTTGTGTACGCAAAAAAAAAAAAAAGAAAAGAAAATTCTTTCTTTTAAGGAAAATAATTCTCTCTTGTTTTAATAATTTTAAGGGAATGGAATGGTTGTGTATTGTCCGGCTTATTAGCGTATTGATAACCGTTCGATTGAATATCAGCGGTTGAATGGTTCCAGACCACATTTATATGGGAAATAAACCACACACACAACCACATTCAACAATAACCTTTTCCAATCTAATTAGTAATTAAAAAAAAGAAAAATACTTTAAAAAAAAAAAAAAAGAAAAAACTCCGGTTAAAATACACAGTAAAACCACTCTCGCCGCCAGCCACACCGCGCACTCGCCGCCGACCGCCGCCACGCATTGCCGCGCGTCTGAAGACACCACCCTCAGTACCAAACGACTCTCTGGCCGCCACGCCGAGGCTCGACTTGTCGAATCTCGGCCGAAATCGCCACCGCCGCTGCCTAAAATTCACGACCAACAGCCTCATTATCCGCTTCGTGTTGTGAGCCACCACCACTGGGCATCAACTCAGACCTCGTCGCACAACAAAAGCCAATACTCGTGCCTCTAGACCATGCAGAAAACGCTATCACAAGCCACCCAGAACCCACTATTATTCGTCCAATAGGCGGCAACTCCACCCACCCTCTCTGGCGGAATTCTGACTCCATCACGACCTCTCTCTCTTCGGGGAAAGAAAACTTTTTTTATTTTCTATTTTTCCCCTTAAAAGTGTTTGTTTAATCACCTGATTTTATCTTACAGTTACTTTGGTGCATCCATTGAAATCTCAACCATTGAAACCATCAATACGCAAACCAATTTGCGGCATTGTAGTTTTTTCTTTTTTCTAAATAAAAGTCTTATTTTATTTCTGAAATAGCACATTATTTGGAAGTTTGGGATCATAAAGAGTGGGGCCCTTATTACAAAAGTTTATAACTATAACTGTATATAAATGTATTTTATAACTTTGGGTAACAACATGCACAGGAAAGTTGGCAGAAACTCAGCTGGCCGGACACTTCTACGGCCGGCTGCCGGCCCATGAGCCATGCCAATGTGTTTTTTTTTTTTTAATTTGTTTTTTAATCTTATCATAAAGAAAATATGTATAGTTCCCCATTCTCTTTGAATGATTGATTGAAATAACAGAAACCAAAACCCCGTATGAAAGGAAGAATCTCTTCATGAGCATTTTCCTCAAAATCTCCGATTTATGACGTGACAAGCAAAACAACTCATTACAAATAGAAGAAAGTGGGTCTTCCTTTCACATAGATTGGCCGTATCCTCTCCCCAATGAAAAAAGTTAATTTTCTTTTTGTTAACAAAAGTCATCTTATAATAGGTTTGACCAATGGTCAACTCCACTAAAGTCTGAGTCTTAAACAATAACCGTCGTGGCAAAAATCGGTGGCTCCAAGAAGCCAACCAATAAGCAGGTCCTTTTTGATAGGCTTTTAGTTAGGTCAAAGACTCCAAAGATGGCTTAAGTAGTGGCGTGCCATCATAACTTCTAGTTGGTAAGTTAGAATTGGGAATTTCCAAACGTGCGTTTCTTCATCCATATCCGAGAATAGATATGCCACTAAGTGGCAAAAAAAAAACAAAAAAGGACGGATTAGCCGATAAAGTTACAAAAAACGTGCGTGTTACATATTTTCCAATCAAAGCTCCGAGAATATCAAGTCAAACGTCCTATGATTGTATAACTGATAAATTGCTCAATGCCCTTTACACGCTTGCAAAAAAAGAATTAGATCGAAAGATTTGGAATTCGTCTATATAGACCTCCTAAATTCAGCACAAAATTATACTAAAGTTGACTTTCCCAAAGTAATGGACAAAGTACTCCTATTTCAACATTAAAACAACATTTCATCATGAGAAAGTGTAACTAGATGTGTTCTAGTGGAGCACCCAGAAGCTACATTTGCAATACAATAGGGGTTCGATAATGTTTATCAGTTTATGTACTTTTTTGGTAAGAGAGAAATAGGATGGCAATAAGAGTAGAAACAAAGCCTTCGGCAGAAAACAGTTGGACTTTGTTTCAAACATCTCTTGCCAAACCAGAAATATCGACATGTCCCGAATCGGGTTTGTTTCCTTTACGATATGCGTCCAGCTGGGGATCGCTGTCAATAGGTACCCCTCTACTCCTAGATGCAGATGAGGATGAAGAATCTCCATCAAAGATGTGTGGATCCCCAAGTCCTCTAAAAAAGTCATTCTTCATCTCCTCAGCAACTTCAAAGAAACGGCCAAGACCACCAAAGAAGCTCCGCTCAATCGTGTCGATATCACCGCGTAGCCCTGGGAAGTTGAAGCTTCGTTCAATTGCATCAATATCGCTGTGTAGTCCAGGGAAGTCCAATGCTCCTCCCTCAGATGAGCCTGTGGGGAAAGACCCCTTGAGCACCTGGTCTGTGACATCATCTTCGGTGTACTCTTTGTTTGATTGCACCACTTCAACAGGCCTAATAGACAGCAAAACAAGAGTGAGTTCATATCCAGCATCTACCAATCCAATGAAACGTACTACCTCCTAAAACTATTTATATCTGTCCCGCCGCATTTGGAGCTTAAGTTTTTATTTCCTAGTATCTAAGCCTGCGCAAATGTGAATAATCGGCAAGAACAAATAAATAACACCTAAAAAACAAAGCTGACAGTCTTTAAACCATGATGCTTATAACATTTCACTACACGAGCATCAATAAACCTTTCAAAGGAAGTGCCAAAAAAAAAAATGCTGTCTGTGTGGGTAAATTGTAATTAGCTTTTGTAATTAGTTTCCTGATTACTATGACTAAATTAGTGTGTAGAATATTTTTCTTGATATCCCTGGAATCATGGGATTAATAGGCATAGATTATTTCCTTTTTAGTCTGGGCGTGCATTCCTATATAGTCTTCTAGTACTCTGTAAATTCACTCATTCAATCAATGAAAATTCATATTCATTCTCTCATATTTCATGATAGTGTGTATATGCACAAGACACGTTAATATCCCATCCCTTCACTAAACTTTCATAGGATCACGGTATTGGGCTAATTTGAATCAGAAAACCACGTTAAACCATGACACTTATAACATCTGCAAGTAGTAACATGTCTATTAAGCATTAACACAAATATTAAAGAGTCTTCTAAAGGAAAGCAACAAGAGATAGTTAATGAATGTTGTGTATATCCACAAAGCACAACACTAACAACAAAATTCTTTTACATAGCATGCTAGTTTGTGTCATCATTCATCTACGAAATCTATCCAGAATTTGGGATTGCTCGTTGTTTTTGCCAACAAAAACATTCAGTGAAATCTATTCAGAATTTAGTACTAGAACAATGCAGAACATCCTAAAGAGAACTCATTGATATCCCATTTTCCCCTTGACTCAACAAAGGCATCCATTTTTCTCACAACACACTCAAATGTGAAGCTACTACACCGCTAATCACATAGGGCGCATTTGTTTCATATACTCAAAATCAAATCATTGATTCTGCTACATTGTTTTCTTCTCATAAAAAATTTGAATTTTAAACATCAGAATTAAGAATCACAGTTTGAGTATACCTTCCAAACAGGCCCATAATATATACTTCTTAATTTTAGCAAACGCCTTCCACCTTCATCAATACATGTATCCAAAACTTGTACTACAGCATTCACAATATCATCCTCCAAGTATAACAGAATTTGATAGAACAAAATCCAGGACACTAAAGTCGTCGCAGGAAAAAAAAAAAAAAACACTTTGTCAATCCCGTTGGCTAATATACTTCCAATGAGTACAGATATATTCCACTCACTATGTTTCTCTTTAGCTCAAAAAATACACAATAAATCAACATTATTATCAAGCTACTTGATACAAAATGATTTCTTTTCTAGTCTTTTCTTCTTTTTCTTTTAACAAGAGGACACAAACCTACAAGACTAACACAATTTCAATACAAGCTCCAAAGCTTCTAAATTTCTCCCATGAGATTCATTGCTTACTCTTTCGACAATTCCCAATAAGAGATCAAAAAATTCCCATTCTACAAAGAGCTTTCCCAATCATCTATGTAAAACCCAAGAACCCTTTATCCAAAATTATAATCACAATTCCATTTTACAATCCTCAATTTGGTGCAATCAAAATAGGTCAAAATAGAAATTGGAAACAAAATTACCTCCCAACGCAATCCCTAAGGATCTCCTCGGTCCTCTCGCACTTCCTGACGAACCTTCCGGGCTCGACCTCCTCGGTCTTGCACTGCGACCTCACCACCTTCCTGGTGGAGCGCCGGTCGCCGTCAGATCTAGTGTTAGCGTTTCCGACTTCGCGAAACTCGCCGGCCGGCGAGATCTCAGAGCCCCCGTCGTCTGGTTCGTTCCTCCACACCCAGCCCATTTTCGTCTTCGATGATTCGGTTCTGTGCACAATCCACAAATCTTCCAGAAACCCTGAGGTTCCGTTGCCAGGTTACGACACGTAGTTTGGTCAGATGATCATCAATATTTAAAAAGAAAAATAAAAAAACAAAGGGTATTGTTTATTTATTTATTTCTTTTAAGCTTTCTATCATCAAATTTTTATGTAACATTGTATGTTTCTAGACATTAAAACATCTTAAAAAAAAGACATTAAGACGAAGGATCTTATCACATCACGGAGTAATGAAAATATATGTAAAATTAACAGATCCTAAAATTACTTTCACCCTGCCCAAAATAGAAATAAATTATGACTCATTTAATTCATACGTTTAAATCAATAATTATTAATTTTTGACATTTAAAATTTAAATTTTTTATGAGAAAAAAATACTGTAACAGAATCAGAACTATGTATTTAAACACAAATCTTTATCTTCCTAACAATCTCTCTTTAAAAACCAGATTTGATTGAGAGGGATTTGTTTTCCAGTAAATGTGGCATCAACAAAAATTAAGTCTTTATTCTTATTTAATTAAAATGGAACAATTCATTTTATTTTATACTTTAGAAATAAAAAAAAAATAAAAAAGAGAAATCTCGGCATGTCATCCACTTTGAAAGACGACACCGATTTTATAGTGAAGAGTAACGACATGATTCATGTTGTAAAGCCAAGCTCTCGTTTTAGCAAATAAACGATTTCATAGTCTGCAACAAAACAACGCAATTTGTAGAGCCAAGCTCTCGTTTTAGCAAATCGCAAATAAACAATTACATAGTCGGCAACAAGAAGACGCAATTAGTCATCAAAAGAAGATGACTAGGTTCCATAGTGAAGAGTAAACGACATGATTCATGCTGTAGAGCCAAGCTCTCGTTTTAGCAAATAGCAAATAAACGATTACATAGTCGGCAACAAAACGACGCAATTAGTCATCAAAAGAAAATGACAAGGTTCCATAGTGAAGAGTAAACGACATTATTCATGTTGTGAAGCCAACCTGTCGTTTTAGCAAATAAACGACGTGATGTCATAGTCTGCAAGAAAACGACGCCATTAGTCATCAAAAGAAAACGACACGGTCCATGTTTTAAAGAGTCGTTTGAATAAAAAATAAACAATAATGATAATAATAATAAAACAGTAAACAGACACACGCTCGGTGGGACTCGAACCCACAATCGTCTGATTAGAAGTCAGACGCCTTATCCATTAGGCCACGAGCGCTTCGTTTTATTTTTTCCTTCCCACAAATCTTAAAAATGAAATTTCGCTTTACAACTTACTACTACTGCCATAACCAAACTGGCAAAATTCTCCATGGAAGAAAAGAAACAATAACCCGCCATGAGAAGCTTAATCAAACTCCAGTCTTTACATTCCAACTATAATTCAAACCTCCTTCGCTTACGCTTCAAAAAATCGTTTCGTGTCTCTCAGTTCTCAAGCCTCGCTAGATCATCCAAGCCAAAGAAACAAACCCACGACAAGAAAGCACAACCAGAAACTAGTACTACTAGCATTGGATCGCTTTTCAACGAGATTACCGACATTCTAGGCACCGAGAGCTTCGCTTCCGATAAAACCTCATCTGGGTTTTCGATATCCGGGGAAACCTGTGTCGGGGGCAGTGAGTTTGGCGCTAGAATCACGTCTTGCACACTAACTGTTTGTAGAAATGTCGAGGAGAGCGTGTTGCAAGAAAAAGATGGTTTTGCGATTGAAATTGATGTTAGTCCGGTTGTTCATGAGGTTGCACGGATTGTTAGGGCGGAGTTCGGTTCGGTTTCGATGGAGGAACGGTTGGAGAAATCGGGTTTCGAGTTGGATTCGGAGATTGTTGATAAAGTGTTGAAAAGGTGCTTCAAGGTGCCACATTTGGCTATGAGGTTCTTTAACTGGGTGAAGCTGAGAGATTGGTTTGATCCCACAACTCGGGTTTACAATACGATGTTGTATATAGCCGGGGAAGCTAAAGAATTCCGGCTGATGGAGAAGCTGGAGGAGGAAATGGAGAAGGCATCTTGTGAGAAGGATGTCAAGACTTGGACTATTCTTATTTCGAGTTACGGTAAGGCGAAGTTGATAGGCAAAGCCTTGTTGATTTACGAGAAAATGATCAAGTCTGGTCGAGAACCAGATGCAGTGGTTTACAGGATGATGATACGCTCACTTTGTGCTGCGGGGAAAGCAGATATTGCAATGGAATTTTACACGGAAATGGCCCGGAAGGATATAAGACTTGACTTGAGTTTGTATAAGATGCTACTAAGTTGTATAGCAAGATCAGGAGATAGTGCTGGTGTCCACTTGGTTGCGGATGATATGGTTAAAGTTTCCCAGATTCTGGATCACATTGTTTATGGTTGTGTAGTTAAGAGTTTTTGCATTTCCGGGAGAATTAGAGATGCTTTGGAATTTATACGAGACCTCAAAGATAAAGATGTAACATTTGGATATGAATATTTCGAGACTTTAGTTAAAGGATTGTGTAGAGCTGATAGGATTGTAGATGCTTTGGAGATCTTCGAAATTATGAAAAGAAGACAACTTGTTGATGGAAATGTTTATGGAATCATCATCAATGGGTACTTGAGAAGAAATGATACTTCCAAAGCCCTTGATCTGTTTCAAAGCATGAAAGAAGTCGGACATTGTCCTAAAGCTTCCACTTACACAGAGTTGATGCAACACCTCTTCAGGTTGAAACAGTATGAAAAGGGCTGCGAGCTATATAATGAGATGCTGGAAAGAGGGGTTGAGCGAGATAGTGTGGCGATCACAGCAATGGTTGCAGGTCATGTCCGTGCCAATCGTGTTTCCGAAGCATGGAAAGTCTTCAGGAGTATGGAAGACAAAGGTGTTTGGCCCACTTGGAAAGCATATTCAATATTTGTTAAGGAACTGTGCAGAATTTCAAACACGGATGAAATTCTAAAGGTTTTGAATGAAATGCGAGCTTCTGAGATACTCATCGGAGATGAAGTAATCCATTGGGTGATATCTCATTTGGAGAAAAAGGGGGAGATAGAAAATGTGGAAAAAGTAAAGCAAATCCAGAGAAGCTGCAAAGTTTCAGCTCAAGGTGATTTATCTTCTCCTGATGAATCTTTGGAACAGGAAAACAATATGGACTTGATTTCCATGTCAGAGTCAGGGATGATGGATTGCTGTCTATTGGAGCCACTTCCAAAGGCTTACAACGAGAGGGATTTGCAGGAAATCTGTAGGATTTTATCGCTATCACGAGATTGGTTCTTAATTCAAGAAGCTTTGGAGAAATGCACTGTTGAGTTCACACCAGAACTTGTTGTGGAGGTATTGAGGAACTGCAATACAAATGGTTATCCTGCATTTCAGTTCTTTTCATGGGTAGGAAAGCAAACCGATTACAGCCACACAGTGGAAACTTACAACACGGCCATCAAACTCGCGGGACGTGGGAAAGATTTCAAGCACATGAGGAATCTCTTTTATGAGATGAGAAGAAAAGGGCACTCAATAACATCAGACACATGGACAATCATGATCATGCTATATGGTCGTACTGGCTTAACTGAGATTGCTCTGAACACTTTCGGGGAGATGAAAGCCAACAATTGTAACCCAAGTGCCAGCACCTACAAGTACTTGATCGTATCTCTTTGTGGGAAGAAAGGAAGAAAAGTAGATGAAGCCATAAGACTATTCCAAGAGATGATTAGTGCCGGGCACATCCCAGACAAAGAATTGATTGAAACTTATCTTGCTTGTGTATGTGAAGTTGATAAGCTTTCAGATGCTCGAAAATGTGTAGATTCTCTTCAGAAACTTGGTTTCACAGTTCCTCTCAGTCATTCTCTATACGTCAGATCACTTTGTAGAGCAGGGAGGTTAGAAGAAGCTTTGGCTTTAGCAGATGAAATTGGAGAAGAGAAAACTACATTAGATCAGTCCACTTATGGAAGCATCTTTCATGGGCTATTGAGGAAGGGAAGAGTGGAAGAAGCCCTTGCGAAGATGGATTCAATGAAGGCAACGGGCATTAATCCAACGGTCCATGTGTACACGTCCCTGATTGTTCATTTCCTGAAGGAGAAACAGATTCAAAAGGCTTTGGAAACTCTTCAGAAAATGAGAGAAGAGGGTTGTGAACCAACAATTGTTACTTATTCAGCATTTATCAAGGGATATGTGAACATGGGCAATATTGGTGAGGCTTGGAATGTGTTCTATCTGATGAAAGTGAAAGGGCCTTTGCCTGACTTCAGGACTTATTCAATGTTCATTAGTTGTCTCTGTAATGTGGGAAAATCTGAAGAAGCTGTAAGACTCATAGATGAAATGCTGAATAGTGGGATTGTTCCTAGTACTGTCAATTTCAGAACAGTTTTTCATGGCCTAAATAGGGAAGGGAAGCAGAGTTTGGCACGGAGTGTAATGCAGAAAAAGCTAGCTTTGATAAGAAAACGCAAGTTCCTGACATAATTTATTTTGTTCTTCTTTCTAGAGTTTGTTTTGTTGCTTCAACCAAACTAATTATACATCGAGCACCTCTATTCATCTTGATGGTGTTAAGATCCCGCTACTCACGTGAAGTGGATTCCACTAAATAGATAGATGGGCATTAATCTAGTGGCACCCATCACTTTGTGATAAAACTCCATCGGGATGAATACCATGTTTGTTATACATTATTTGTATTGGTTCTTTTAAATATAAAAAATTCAAACCAACCAACTGGACTAGAATTATATGCAACTTGGTCCACAGTTTCTCCAAATGTAGACAATATCCATGATATACATAAATATATTTATGGAAATATCCGGAAAAAAAAAAAAAAGAGAAAAGTCTGGCAAATATCATTATTTTACAAAAAAGAGACAAATACTGCATAGAGTGTATAGCTCTGAATTTTTATTCTTTAAACTTAATTGATATCTTTTTTTAGTTAAATAACAATCAAAAGGGTATTAATCAAGAGTATAAGCTAAAAATTCAGCATCGTGCACTTTAAAGATAAGCTCAGCAATTTTCTCGAAGAAAAAATAAAATACAACTCTTTTTTTTCTTCTATTATCCTCATTGTTTCATCATGAATCATATTTACTTTATTTATGCATTCTATATAAGAATCTCTGAATAGACAAACTTTGTTTGGTTCAACAACTCAAATTGTTGATTTAGTTTGAGTTGTGGTGATTTAAATTGTGGTAATTTTAAATGCAATTTGAACCAGTGTTTGGATACGTAAATAAATTATAATTTGAATTGAGAATAAAATCTAAATTGTATTTGGATAAAGTGTTGGAAACAGTCATTAGAGTTTCATAACAAATCTTATTAAATCTCATTGTAAATGACTTTAAAAAATATACAATATGGGTGTGGGGTTGTTCTTCTCTTCATTATGAACATATAAGAGAAAAAATCATCTCAATTGGAGTTGAAATGAAAAAATTATGACATTTTTAAGGTTAAAGTTGAAAAGAGAGAAATAAAAAACAATTATTCTTGAATTGTTGTCAAACAATCCGGATTGTGAATTTTAGAGGGTATGAATTTTAAAATCAACCCTTTGAATCTTTAGTTGATGGTTTGAATGATCCCTTTTTATTTTTAAAACAAACACTAATTTGAATCTTTTAAACACAATTCCGAATTGTTTAGTTCAAATAGTTTAAACCAAACATAGCACAAAAATTGTCCGACGATCGTTTAAACCACTTGTTAAGCTGGATGAATCAACAAAATTCAATTTATGAATTGACAGTAAGGAGAGATCAAACAAACTATTATTTAAGACCAAATAATTACCTCAAAACTATTTAAGAGCAATATCTTTCAAATGTATTATTTAGACCAGAATTATACTCTGCCTCATGCCCTCCAACCTTGTAAAAGCTTTTTTTAATTAGTTACTAAGACAAATAAAATCCACAATATCTAACATCTAAATTGCATAAGTTGTATGTTTTGCTAATAAATTGTAACTTTGAGCAATATATATATAGAAAATAGGGAGATTCTCTAGTACGTCTGGCCTACCGGTAGGCCAAATTTTTCTAACTATTTGATCTACGTATTTTTTGACTTTTGTGTGATCTTATGCAAATCTAACGATTAGAAAACCTAACCTACCGGTATGTTGGAATACTAGAGAAAGTCCCATAAAATTATAAGCAATGAATCATATATGGATGTTCTAAAGAGCCACCTCCCGCAGTTTTTTTTTTTTTTTTTTTTTCAATTTCACAATGAATAGGGAGGAAGATATAACACAAGATAAAACTAATAAGACAAGAACATATATCACCTAAAAATTTAACTTTTGTTTACAAGGAATGGGGAAACTAGCTTTCATTCTTTACAAGCATTTGACCAAAAACTTAGAGAGGACTGAAGGATCATAGACATGCATGGTGGTGAATAATGCCCTTCCCCAGTCTCAACATGCCTAGTAAAATTACAAGTACAATTTTTAAGTAGATAATCCATATCTCTCCACCATGGTTTGCCAAGAAACTGATGATAATTTAATCTATGATACTAAAGATTTCCTTAAATTCCTGAATACCGATTCCTTTCCGGAACCCCTTAACAGGTCTTGGATCGAAGTCTTACCTGATGAGAAAACAGATAGACATGAAAGTGATAAATTTAGAGCTTTCTCAAAAAGAATACAGTTTATCGTTAGATTGAATGAAACATGAAGTGTTCATCATTCAGAAACAAGGTGCCAGCCAATAAGCAGTTAACTACCAACTATGAAAAACTAGACGTATAAATAATTGACAATTCCACAACCTTGCCCCAAACGAGGAAAGGCTTAATCAACAAGGAAAGCCAACTAAAAATAAACCTATAGACGAGTTTTGAGATCTGACATGAAAATTTGCATATGTCGAACCCAACTTAGAACAAGCAAAATAATTGCTCCTGGGAAAGGGAAAAAAATACATACCTAAAAGTCATTGCTAGTGAGTCTAGTGGTTGAAATTTTGGGACAGGAGCACAAAGCTGACTGATGGCAAAAATGAGCAATAGGCCAGCAAGAGCCTGAAAGTTATTAGGTGATTGCTTGGTTAGAAACCTGTAACTCCGCATTAAAACTATTAAATAAGAATATAAGATGGTACAATATATTAAAACGCAAATAAGTAAGCAAAAAGACAGGCTCCTAATTTGGAAGAGAGAATTGATACAATTTTTCCAAAAACACGTGATAAAGATTAGTCGAAGAAACACACTTCTTAGCAAGGAAAATCATATAATGTTTTCTTCTTATGGGATGACACCCAACAACCTGAGATATACATACATACATACATACATACATACATACATACATACATACATACATACATACATATATATATATATAAATATATATAAGAGAGAAAAAAAAGAGTAGGCAATCACATTAAGTACCTTATTAGAGCTTTTTTACAATTTCTTCAATGGCTCGCTCATAGTAAGTCATTCTCCGTGTAGCTTTAACAGCTTCTCCAAAATTTCGATTTTGGAATGCATTTGCAAATAAGTCAGACCAGTTTTTGACTTTCTCTTGCATCTGAACAAACAAAAACGCATGAAACAATAATAGCGACTTAAAAAGGAAACACTTCAACCAAATAATTTCTTATGCATATACTGGATAAGCAAAACTTTAGAATTAGATCAGGAATTTTTGCTTCCTGACTCTAGCAAACAGCGGCTTAGCAGCTTAGGAGCCTACTTGTTACAGCAACATAGGTCTATACAGCCTATAAAACCTTAATCATGCCATCAGATCCTTGAGCTACCAATTTCCCATTTCTATAGCGGCCTGATTAACAAGTTACCGTATTAAAATTTCAACCTAGAAACATGAAACTTTGGATAAGGACACCAGAATTCAGCATATGAGCAACGGTACTATTCTCTCACAGAACAATTCTCTAATCCTTCCAGCTGGTTTCACACACTTTGCAAGCATATTTGAAAGAAGGCCCATTTATACCTCAGACCGAATCTGATTTAAAGCCTGAGAGTCAGCTGCCTCCTCCACAGCTTCCCTGATTTCCATCATCTGCATTGCACATTAAGAAAGTATTAGAAAATATAAAAGTACGTATAAGTAAAACTTTAATTAAATTTTAATACATTGAGCAAACACACTGTTCTAAATTACCTCAGTAAGAAATTCAAAGTCTGAAATTGTTTCTTCTTCATCGACATTGACACCTTCGAGCTTCATCTGTAGTAAAAGAGGTAAATTCACTTCAGAGCTTGTAGAAATAGAAACACAATTAGGAATGCTCTACTTTTGGACTCAGAAAAACTGCGCTTTCTCAAGCAAATACACATATGAGAGCATAAAAACATTTTAAAGGTCCTTCTGTTCCGAAAGTAAAAGATAAGCACATCCATATTGCCATAGTTAGTCCTCAAACCAACATTGAAGACCAAACAAGTGAAAAAGGTTTCTAGATAGAAGCTACCAATGAAAAAAATCGGAGTATGACGTTTACATGTTTCGCGTAAATTTATAATCTAAATACATCATACGTGGTAAAAGACTCACATTCTCAGCAAAACAAAGAAAACAATAAAAAGACAACACTTACAATATAGATTGCTCTTGACAAAGGCTTGCTAAGCGTGCGGTATGCATCGATCACCCGAGCAGACTGCTCAGCAGCATATTCTCTTTCTTTCTAACAAAATACCATGATTAACTTGAAAGCCTTTAATATTCGCTTCACTTTTACTAAAATTCAGCATTGTACTACTGGTAACATGACAAACCTCTGATTTCGAATGAACTAAATCTGGATGCAACTTTTTTTGCCAGTTCTTGTATTTTCCCTCCAGATTGTCATCTTCAACATTGTACTTTTTCTCCCTTTTAAAATTTTATCAACAAAAACAAATGAACATAATTACAGAAACTTGAATATATTTCTTCAACTTTCAACTAATGAAAGCAATTAATGCATAGGATTTTTAATTCTAGAAACGCAAGGAAGAAAGCTAACAAAACAAACGCCTTTTTTTCCTCATTTCTTCACTCAAAAACGACGATCAAACCAAAGAATTAGCTAACGAAGTTCCAGAAAGCACATAATTTGCAACGAAAAATGAATCAGAAACCTAAATTTCAAAACATTCTGTCCAATGCGTAGTAACTTACAATCCGAATATTTGGAAGTAATCGACCGACTGATCCACCGGCTGAATGCAGCGGCAAGACGGACAGAAGAGAAACAGCGCCGCCTCAGCCGCGGCGTTGCAATTCCAGCACTTCGCGTCGAGGTTGAGGGCAGTTTGGGAGCTGAGAAAATTTTTCCCGGAAAATTGGAATTTCCCGAGAAAATCAGGTCGGCCGCTGGGGAGGAAGAAGAGCCTGGAGTTGTCGGAGCAGGGAGAGAAACGAGAGCGAGACTGAGCTCCGGCGGAGAATTCGATTGTGGAAGACAGGGCTCGCCGGAGAACGGCGGAGGAGAGTGGGGTCCACAGCCTTTGCCTCAACATCGCCGGAGATTTCTGGATTTTTTTTTTCTTTTTTTTTTTTCCGGAGGGGTGGGGTTCTCTACAAGTCTACACTTCCTTTTTTTTATAATGGAATAAAAATAAAAATTTTCAACAAAAAAAAAAAAAACCCTTTTAAAATACATTTGTAAATATGTAAGAGAAATACTACTCAAAAAAAAATATATATATATATGTAAGAGAAATATAAGGGAGGGAAACAAAGGAATGACATAACTCTCAATCTAAATCAAGGAAAAAAAATCCTCAAAAGAATCCAAGAAAAATAAAACAATTGATTATGAAAAGAAGTGGCAAAAATAGAATTTTTAGTAATTAGTTTTGAAATTTAGTAAATCTAAACATTTAACTATGTTAGGAGCTAAATCCATAGATTTTCTGTGTTTGTATCAAATATTCTGATTTTTCACAAATACATTTTTTTTATATGCTTCAAAAATTACTAATTTTCTTGAAGCCTCTTTTTTTTTTTTTTGGCTGAATAAATACTAATTTGCTGAAGCCTTTTTTTCATGTAACTCCAATTCCCCAACAAAATTTTTGTAACAAAAAAAAATTAAAAAAATGAAAATGTTTCCTAAAAGAAAAGGTTAATTTGATGAACAAACCCAGCAATGAAATCAATGAAAAAACAAAAGAATAAACAGCCAACAAGAAATAGAAAGACAGAGGATATTCCAATCCAAAAAGTACAAATTGAAAGCCAACATCCAAACAGATAACTTGAAGGCCTACTAGGTATTGTTGAGACACCAATGGAAGGGGTGTAGCTGACTGATCTCTTCTTATTTTCTAGGCTCTCCATTATTCTATGTTTTGATTTTCAAGTTTTGATGGTTTGGTGAAATTTTGGGTGTTGATTTTTGTAGGCTGTTTTGGAATTGAGGAGAGTGCCTTTCAAAAAAAAAACAAGAAGAATTGAGGAGAGAAAAGTTTTAAAAGTTTTAAATTTTAAGCAAAGGTCACTAAAAAAAGAGTTTCTATCAAAAAAATAACTATCAATGGTTCTAGTTTAGTACTTTTTAAGGAAAGTCTCGTATTGCTATCATGTGTTATAGTATAATTATCTTTTAGTATCATTTATTTTTAATAATTTTAAATTAGTATGTCGACTTTTTAGAAAAAAAAAATTTTATACCTTAAGGTCATTTTTTAGAATATAAAATATCAAAGTTACCATTTTCATTAATTAACTAAAAAACTAATAATAAATTTAGAAAAATTCTGAAATTTTTTTTAAACATTTAAAAATTAAAAATATAAAATAATGCTTTAAATTAAAAATAAATTTTTCAGAATTTTTCCTAAATTTAATAGTTTTTGGTAAAGTAATGAGAAGGGTAAATTTATAATTTTACATCTTAAAAAATGACCTCAAGGTACTAAAAAATAATTTTTTAAAACATTAAGGTACCAATTTAAAATTACTAAAAACACATGGTACTAAAAGACAAATATGCTATAACACAGGGTACCAATATGAAATTTTTTTTACTTTTTAATCATCATATATGTATCAGAAACTGTTTGTTTTGCATACTTTTTCAATTTGATGTGATTTGACCAGATCAAACGATTAAAAATTAACCCTATTAATATACCGGCCTATCAAAGAAGGTCCATTAAAAAAAGAGTGAGGAGAATAAATAAAACTAAAGTGTCACAACTCACAATATACTTTAGAAAGGTTACATTTATTGCCAGCTTAAAACATTTTTTAACATTTAGAATGTTGAAAGTTGTTCTGTGTTGTGTTTTAAATAGTATTTAACTACAATATATGTTTCAAATAGTGTCGAATCAATTACATTATGTCGCGTTATTGAATGAGCTCATATATTAAAACATAGAAGGGTAAATTGAACTTTAAATATCATGGTGTAATGTGATTGTGTAGACATAATTTGAACTTTAAAATTAGACAAGTGATCTAAATGGATTATCAGCGTATGATATTAAGTTTCAAAATAAATTAATAATTTAAAAATGATGATTCACTTATTAGTCTCAAAAAGAAATATTTTTTTGAAACTATTCTGTTGTCGTTTAAACTATTTTCTTTTTACGGCTGTTGTTATTTTACGTGTCGTTTAATTACCAAAAATAATTTGTCGTTTAAACTATTCTGCTCTTAGTTCTCCTCTCCTTTAGGCTATTAGTCTCGAAAATAAATATTTTTTTCTTTCTTTTGTCCTCTGTAAAAAATCTTTTGTGCTACGAAAAAGTTTGTCGTCTTTTCAAATATAAGTAGCAAATGATTGTGGTTCACATTATTTATTGTGGTTTACAAAATAAGGGCATGGTGTTTTTCCCATGGAGGCATACTCTTTGCTTCAACCTCACGTTGCCCATCAATTATCGCATCAAACAAGTAGGCCAAATTATTAACCAAAAAAAAAAAAAAAAAAGTAGGCCAAATTCATCCCTTGATGGGAGTCTATGCAAGCAATTTAATGCCAAACAAGGGACCAATCTAGTACATATCAAGCAGGCCCTAGGTGTTCTTTATAATGGCATTATAGTGATCAATAATGGCGGCAACAGGCTCGTGATGCGTGAAAAAGAAAAAAGAAAAAGATATTTACCTTTTAAAATTTATAAAGTGTCAAATGTCATCGGACCTTAAAAATTTTAAAATTTAAATTAAATCACTCTTAGATATATCATGTGAGCTCATTTAAAGAGTATAAATTAAGATTTTAGATGACGATAAAGCTCGTCACCTCACATGTAAAAGATCATTTCATTTAAATTATTAAAATAGTATGCATCATGTAGACGTAGCGATCTACAGTCAATCAAAAAATAGAATATATTAATTAAGAAAATCAGTAATTCGAATTAAGGGCCATTAATCACCGTTATTATCTTTAACATCATTAACTACATATGATTAAGATAGAAAACGACATGACATATAACCATGAAATGAATTCAGTGCTGAAAATAAATAACCAAACCAAAATTATAGTGGTTCACCGTTAAATGAGCTACATCCACGGTTGGGCTGTTCACTATCTTCAATCGGAGGCTTATTATGAAGTTGTTTTGAGTACAATATCTCTAAAGGAATTTCTGGGAAGTAACATATGTAAAATGGCGTTAAAAAGTCCTTTATGAAGGGTGTTGTTTCTTTATTTATAGAGGTCGGATAGGGTGATTGCATTGGCAATTACCTCCTCTTTTTATTCCGAGAAAGCCACAAAGTAGTGGTATGAGTTAGTGGGTGGTTACCACGAGCTCATCACCCATGTCCTCTTTGTAACCGTTATGATGGACACGTCCGTGATGGTAAGAGCGGTTCCGTAAAATTCGGAGAGGGTAGCTTTCCTCTTGTATTCATCTTGGGCGGTGAGTGGGTAGCGAATAAGGGGTAGCAAATATCTTCATAAACCTGACATGTCGATCGGTGACAAGCAATCGACAACGAATGAATACTTGTGCATGTTGGCTTTGCTGGTAGTCTTGATTGATAACAATCAACTATAGCGAGTAGTCAACTGAACGAGAATAGGTGGCGAGTAGGCCAATAGGCGACCATCGAGTACTCAGATGGGTGACTGATGAGAATCGAGACGTGAGTAACGAGTAGATGACAACATCCTTAGCAACTAGCAAGTATATGAAGTTGAACCCCAACACGTCATATCGCTTTTTAACACTTCATCAAGTTTAGGATGATTTTAGAAAATTTTGCAGTTAAGGAAGCAATTAAGGGAGCAACTTTCCGATTCATAAAAAGTTTAGGCGCAGAAAAGTGCCTCAAAAACCCAACTTAGATAAAAAGCTGACACAATATAAGATCGAAATAATTTGCCCATGAACATTTCGTTTTGGGTAGTTTAAGTATTTAAACTTGTACAGAAAAGTCTTTCCCTTTTCTGATTCTGGTTAATGGATAAAGGGGCAACATTGAAATTAAAACACAAAATAAGCAATAAAATTGTAATTCCAAAAAAATGAGGCACATCCAATCCAATAGTCTTCTAAGTTTCACAAGTCTCAACTATTACAAAGCACCCTATCATGAGAGTTCACAAAGAACAACTTTTCCACTGAAAAATGTGGAATATCTTAACGAGAATAGAAAACTGACTTATCTTATGTATAGCTTATTACAAGAAGCGTCCAGACGAAGAAGTAGAAAATATCCAAAAGCATGATTATGTATAATAAATTATTGGCACAGATACATATTTTCATACATTATAAAAAGCTATACTCTTCATGAATATGATATTACTTCTTTTGTATCATTGTATTAGATTGTGAGGTCTCATTTCATTTATACCATAACTCCAAAAATCTGCTTTACGCTGTTTAACTTCCATCTCACCTCTTTTAAGAAATCGGGCCAAAGCAGCAAAGCCATTGGCTTTTCTGCTTGCTTAACTTCTTTCCTCCATTAAGACCGTTTTCATGGACGCCATTCGAATCCTTGGTATTTCGTGTAATATGGTTCGAAATCGATATCTGGGTCGGCCCATCTTTGGCAGAAGAAGAATCAACCTGATTGGTATTAGTGTCACAAGGAACTGAGAATTCCTGCTCTGGGGAAGCTGCTGGTGCTATTCTGTTGTGGTTAGCTTCCTTGGAAAAGGAATTTGATCCTCCTTGCCTGCTTGTAAAATAATAGGAAAAAGAAAAAATAAAGGTTCAGAATCATATAATCCACTTGACCTTATTTATTTTAGTTTGAATATGGTTTTGCTGGTACTTCGGGGAAACCATTCAACTATAAACAGAAACACAAACAAAAAAAATACCCTTTTGGTAGATTAAGTATAAAAAGAACAGCGGTTAGTAGATTAAGTAATATTATGACAGTTTTATTAACATAATCACCTGGCATTTTCAATGGAAGAGCTATTCTTAACCGACTCTTGCGAGGATGTCTGCTCTACTTCTTTTTCAACCTCAACATGAGCTTCGAGCCTTGAACAAACTCCTTCATCTTCTAAAGATTTCGAGTCCTTAACAGCATTTTTTACCTTGGGAGTCCTTTCACCGCCAAACTCATTAGAGGATTGCATTTGGGTATTGAATCCATATTCTCTAACCATAGAAATGACCTTTTCCAATGTTCCTAGAGCTTGTTCCACTTCTGAACTGATATTTCTCTTACCACCAACGGGGGATCTTTCCATTACTTTCTCGATTAAAATTTGCTCTTTGAAATGCTTGCTTTCTTCTCTCTTGAGCTCCTCAATCTCACAAATAGCCGTTGTACCTGCAACTCGCACGTCCTTTAGCGGATATTCAACTGCATGGTAATCGCAATTAACTTTTTGATCCGTCACTTCCAAGTCGTCTGAATTATTTGCGGCCTTTTGTTCGTCAGAGAGGTTGGACAGGTCACTCTTGAGTTCTTTCTCTTCCAGGTCTTTTTTGTGTTCTTTTTCCAATTCATCCAAATTATTTATGGTTTCATATTCTATAGGGAGATGCGATGACTCACTATTGAGTTCCTTTTCTTCTAGAACCCCAATTGATTGATTAGTGGAGTAAAGAGCTTCATGTATCCGAGTGTATAGCGAGTCCCTCAAGGCTTTGCTGAAATCTTCATCGCTTGTAAACGTAGAAGACACTGCCTGCAATTTTCTAAGGTATTAATGTGCAAACGTGTTCGTGCATGTTTTGAGATATATGATTTACATATCTTGTGTAAGAAGCATATACCTTTTGATAAAGCCTGAAACCATTGCCAATGAGCTGCCTTGCGATAAAATTTATAAGCGATGGTGGGACAAAATCCAGCTTTATATCCATATTAGCTATTGTCCTATGAAATTCAAAGTTGTTCAGAGCTTTTTGAATTTTGTTTTCTCTATGGCGTCATATTAACATTCGATACTCCGTGTTCTAATTCATAAGAGGAAAAAAACAAAACATAATTGAAATAATGACAACGTACCGAAAATAACTTCTTTCTGGGGTAACTTTTTGTAAAGCAAAGCCTCCCACTACATCAATCCTAACCACATCCTTTGCTTCGGGAATTGCCTCATTAGTGAAACCATGAGTACTGATGTTAATATTTCCCGTGTCTGAGACCTGAGATTAATTGCAATTCATTTAGTTTGCAATCCAATCTATAGTTAGAAAACAAAAAAAAAAAAAACAAAAAAAAACAAAAAATTAAATGAAATAAGTAATGAAATGTTTCGAGTTAGTACCGTGTTTAGGAGGACAACAACCAGATCATCTTCCAAGTACTCGAACAAAAAATAGTGAATAATAGCTTCTCTAGTTGACAGTGGCCATGAAACCTTCACCCTTTCTTCCAAAAATATAAACAAAAATCAACGTGTGAAAAATGAAATATGTTCAAACAAGTACCAGAAAAGATTAAGCCAATTCTCTAGACTCTACTGTTGTAATCTAGACAAACCTCACTAAAGATATTTGTTCCCCAATCCGAACCTTCTGCAAACAATTGCAAGAGAGAATTTTGAAAGTTGGGATCGTCGACTGAGGCCACCTGGGAAATTAGGAGGATAAGTTTTGTTTAATTCAGGTTTTTCCCTTCAGTCCATAGTAAATATAATAAAGATAATATAAAATGGAATAAAACCACATACACAATGGACATGATGACTCACCATTTCTTGTAGAGGGCCGACTCCCACGAGATGCATAAGCCTGCAATAAGATGCGAAAGTTATCTGAAAGTTGTGATTCGGCGATGATGTTTTGTTTACTTGTAGCGCTCTCAGAGAATCAAAGCTCATGCTAGTAAGATGAAGATCAAATTGTTTTAATTGTTTCGGTTTTATCTTACAGACGTCTAAAGGTCCGTCCACATAGCCTTCAACAAGCAATGTATGAAAAGGAGTGCCCTGAGGCCCTTCCCGATACATTACACGAAACTCTTCATTGTCCTGCTTTAACTGTCAAAAGAGGAAGAAATTTACTATTGTCACAATCTAATTTGTCTCACACTCGAAGAAAGGAAAAGGATGAAACTTTCTGCCTAGAAAGTGTCAAGAGCAGGCTTCAAAATAGTCCAAAACGTGCAAGAAAACAAAATTTTGAGTTTTGTCTGCATACAAATCCGAGTTCTTACATCTTTGAACAAGAAAATCCTGGCCCAACCAAAGGCATAAGAAACTACCAGTTAAATTCTTTATGATCTAATGATTCATCAGCAAAAGTTATGTCAAGATTCATGGGCATAGAATAAAGATGTACAGGTTCAAAGGGGGGAAAAAGTGGATTTGATCTAGATTATAAGAGGATTGACCACCAAACCCAGAAAATTAGTAACAATATGCAAAAAAAGATAGCATACTTTCCATTCCTGTTGCGATGCGGTTTCAAGAGATTTTGATTCCTCACTGCCATTCATAGAAGCACTCCTTAACATATCAAGAAAATTTGAGACTTCAGCAGTCCTCTTTTCTATTACCGTCTCACTACATCCTACAGAACCCAAGGATCAAGATCACACATAAAGTTTCATTATCAGCAGTTTACACTAATAATATAAGCATATACAGTATGCTAACATATATAACATATATAACATATATATATATATATATGTATGCATTATAGGACATTTAGGCGGAAATAACAACCTTGGATTTCTTGTCCTGAGGATTGTAGTATTTGTCTCTTGACAAGGGCCTTCAAAGACTCTAAATTTGTTAGCTTAGGTGAGGCCAGTGTTCTATCTAGCCTCTCCCTATACTGATTGATCTTCTGTTTTGTGCCCATTCTTGCATCTCCTAAACCAGGTATCCTCAATAAACTCAGATATTATCTCCTGAAGATCCAAATAACAATGATAAACAAAAAAAAAAAAAAGGAGTTAGAATATTGTCATTAAGCCACTTAGAAAAAGGCTTTAAAAAAACCACTAATATCCTTGCCTAAAAAAAGTGTACTTTTTGATAAATAAACAGACTAAACACTTTTAACATTCAACTTGGGACATATTTGATTATTTTCCCATCTATACAACACAATAGAAGCTTTAAAACTTCACCAAAACAGAAAAAAAGAAAAATTCCAAATTCCAACAGAAAGCAAAGGAATGACAGATTCCAAAATTAAGCAGCACGCAATACAAAATTCTCAAATCACCCAATATAATGATCAAAACATAAATACCAATATCAAAAATTGGAAATAATATCTTCAACTTCTGACTAAACAAGTCCACAGACACTAAAAGCAAAAAACCAACAACAACATCAGCAGAGTACCCATAGAATTAGAGAAAAACTAATCCAAAAGAATACCAAACACAAAATATAAAAAATACCCAGATAGTTATAAGCATCAAACTTCTCAGCTGCAGAAAAACCAAGCTTGGCCTCTTTAATGAACTCTGAGCAGAACCCAGAATCAGATATGCAAAATCCTCACAAACCCAAAATTTGTAGATCCCAAAATACAAATCATAATCATGAATACAATCCCTCACCCATTAAAGCGAGACAAGCGCACCTGATTTCTACACCCGCCCAGACGGATTATAGAACATGGAATTGCGATTTTGCCTCTCTCCTTGGGTTTAACGAGTTGCCAAAGAATCCACAAAATTAAATATTTGTATATATTATGAAAATCCACGCAATGGACTTTTATTTGTGTTTATGTTCGTGTTTTTGTTAAAGAAATCTATAAAAGTAAAACAAGAGTACTTTTGAATTTTGATTTGTACGAGCTCTTAACGCGCGTGGAGACCGGGTTAAGGTGGGACCCAAAGTGGCCATTCCCATGTCAAAGTAGTTGCCAACCGCTAACCTTATAAATTGGTTGGTAACGTCTATTTATTAAGCACTAGAGTAGCATTTATTAAGCACTAGAGTAGCAACTAGCAACAATACAAAACGAATGGAGGAGTATTCTCGGATATCAATTCAAATCTTAATTTGTATGTATTAATTGATAAATAAATGTAATTTATTATTATTAATTAACATGATAATATTTTCAACACTCATGAATAAAAAAAATGACAATTCATATATTACATCAATTAGTATATAAAGGTTGATATTTGAATTAGTGTCCTTAAAATTATTCCGAACAAAATAATTATTAACATTATTTTGAACGAAGTAATTATAAAAATTCCCTGTCAATTATAATTTTTACAACAATGTATCTTTCCATTTTCAAAATGTGATATTCGTTTATCTTAATTTACGAAATAATGATGAAAAAACCCAAGTATTACAAGTAAAAATAATAGTTGTTTTACAGAAATGAAAAGAGATTATTATTCATATGTTCTTTATGGTTTTTTAGTTTATTTGTCTTACCAATAAGAATTTTTAAATCCTTCAAAAAGTTAAGAAATTATCAACTTTTAAAGTCGATTTCACTTTAAACATAATAGAATTATCAAAATACTCCTATTCACATGCCAATCACGTATTAGTTTCGACTGATGATCCAATCAAGAGTTTTTTCATTAATATTCTTATTGATTGAGGGGAAATATTGTTTAGAATGTATATTCAAATCATAATTTTTAATTTTGATGTTTTAAATTTAAATTTTTTATAAGATGTAACAGAATTAATGATTTGAATTTAAATATATAAAATAAACGAGCTTTTATTGATTTATCAGTAGTCTGTGACATCATATTAAATTTAAAGACCAATTCACTAAAATTAAAAATTGAAGGGATAACTTGAGAATTAGTTAAAATTTACGCGACAAAAGCATGAAAAACTTTTAAATTTAATAAGCAAGTTAAAAACAAGTAAAACGGCATCCTGTGGCAACTACATTTGTGTGAAAGCTACAAGACACGTGTCCATTAACACTGGCTGTCACGCAAGGAATTGGGAGACGTATGCGTTGGTATTAAGCTTAGAGAATGATATTAGACGGTCCATCTGGGCAACAATGGATTCGTGAAATAACATTTTGCTTTGCTTTCTTTGTTTGTTTTTTATTTTTTAGTAAATTGAATTTTTCTTTGTTCGTTTTTTCTTTCTTATGAAATTAAATTTTCTTTTTTTTTGTTTTTCCTTTCTTAGGAAATTAATAAATCTGAAATTACAAAGAACCTGTCATCTTAACCAACTTGTTCCATAGATTGATAGTTAAGTGTAAGATTCTCTTAGGACTAGAATTTTAACCCTGCCGTTTTGTTTTCCTGAACTTTCGGCCTTTCTTCATTATCTCAAATCAACAAATAAATGATAAAGGGTATGTTGCAACCATACACCTTAATTTTTTCATCACTTGTAAGTTAAATTACATTTTTAGGGTTCTAAATCTGACATTTCTTGACGATGCAGCCCGAACAATTATAGACATCAATAAAAGTTCAACATATCAAAATTTAAAAAGTTTAGGTTTCAACTTATTAACCGGCGTAAAATTTTAGACGCATCTGTATAAAAATATTGTGACATTTCTATTTAATAATTGATGTCCGTTAGCTATGTTCATTAGCTATTAGAACACAAATAGAATAACTTTTTAAATTTAGATTTTCTACTTTGTCAAAATTAAAAGTATGGTATCAAAATTGTCAAAACATCGATAAGTTCATAAAACACAAGTACAATTAACCCATAAATAAAGTTTTACTATCATGTTGAATCTTGTGGGAATACCTAATACCTAACTACTGTACATGCGATAATCAGTGTGTGTTGCGGCACATACAGGTCGAGACACAATTATCTTTCACAAATAGGGCTTCACACAATGAGATCTACCCTTTTTTAAAAAAAAAAAAAAAAAATAGAAGTACTAAATTTTTTTATTGTTTTTATTCTTGCTTAGAATGGAAGTGTAAAATAAATACCTATATCATCATCCATACTACTTCCATTTAATTATTGGATGTCGTTGTCAACATAAGTCTCTCTTGCTACGATTCTAGCATAAATAATTGGCAATTGCAACACGACTAGCATTTTGTTAACGTCACTTATCAATTACCACTAGTTGTGGGGGAATTTTCATATCTCATTATGAGCAATTTTTCATATAATTAACAAAATGACAAATTTTATAAACTTTCTCTGAATTTTGTCACTTATATCAATATGTCCCTAAATTTTAAAATGTGCATGCTGAGCCCTCTTGAATTTTGTCACTTGTATCAACATGCCCATGAGGTTAATTCCGTTAAGTTTTTTTTAACAAAAATGCTTATAAATGCCCCTGAACTTTGTCACTTGTGTCAATATGTCCCCTAAACTTTAAAATGTACCTGTTTTGCCCCTCGAATTTGTTAGAAATTGTGTCCTAGAAGCATAAAATGTAATATGATATTTATTATTTATTTAATAAAAGAGTTTATTCATTATTTTATGTGCATATGTTATTGAATATTTTATGAATAGCATTGAAAATTCTATGATTATTTATTTGACCTTAAATATTGTATATAAGTGTTATATGCCAGAGGATAATACTTAAGGATAATAATCAAAATAATGTTCGCAATGAATTTAATTAAAGTTCAGAATCTTTAATTAAAACGTTACTAATACATGTCATTCTCATTCATAATGGAACGTTGTTATCCGCACTGTTAATATGCAGAGATATTGAATGAGTGTATTACGCATAATGAGATAATGTGAGACATGGATACATATATACAATATGAATTTCTGATAATTTCTGTTAAGTACAGAAATTCTAATTGAGTCTACCGATGATCATATATAGAATGATCTTAATCATGAGTTATTAGCAGACTCTTATTTGTGAATTTATGTCTTTTAGTTTACTCGGTACAGATTCTGAGATGTTGAATCCTATTCCTTGTATTTTGGAGACATGATGAAGTGAGTAACTGAGAATGTTATTATACAAGATGTAATCCATTCCTTCTTGAGAAAAAAATAGATAAATAATTCTCTTGAGAGTTGATTCAATACTTGGACCAGTATGAGCTCTGATTCATGAATTTGTTTTATGAATCACTGTCCATTAGATAATCAATGGTACTCAAGGATAAATATATAATTATGGAGGTTAACGGATTTCACCTATCTCTAATTATGAATTATGGAGGATTGATCTATATGTAATGACTATATCAAATGGACAATTCACAGTTTAGAAGTAATTTATGTCTATAATTACAATAGTGCAATTTCAAGTTAATTGTGGAGTAACTTTTAGAATTAATTAATTAATTAGAGAGTTTAATTAATTATTAATTTTATTGAAGCTCAGAATTATAGGTCCACGTGTCCCCGTGTCGTCTTTGTAATCCTACAAGACACTAAGGGAAAAATGAAAATTTTAGAATTATGGAATTCTAAAATAAAACACTCAAGAATAATTAATTGAGAATTAATTATAAATTAAATAATGTGATTATTTAAATTTAAATTTGAATTTTAAAACACACATGTGAAGGTATTTACATAATGTGAACACCCAACACAGTGTGAGTCCATCTGGAATTCAGTTGCTTATTCTTTAAGTTATCTAATTGACTTATTTGATAAGTTGTCCAATTTGAAATTCAAATTTATTTAAGTTTGACTTAAATTAGAATTAGAATTTGAGTCAAAATTGAACTGCATGATAAATAAAGAAGTTTACCCTATTCTTTACCTGTAGTATGTGCCTACTATAGGGATGGATTCCCTTATAGTGGCTGGCCAACATTGTCACGCCCCCCACGCCCCCCAAGCGGGGTGGGTGACGTGGAGCTCGATTAGGGATTAATAAAGAAAATTCCCAACCGGGCCCCACACTTGACTGCATTAAAATATGAATAAATTACTACAGAATCCAGGAGCCTCTGACACACAGGGCTCCACCCCACAGGACATACAGTATCGTACATACATGCTCATGTAAATAATCATTACAACAGACATCAACCACAGTCTAGTAAATCCAAATATTATATAAGTTTACAGAATTTCTCAAATTTCTTACATTTGTATCAGAGGATGACCACAATCCTCACTTGATTCCAACAGCAGCACAACTTAGCTGCTCCGTAGCAATATCCAGCTACTGTGCACCGCCCCTAGAGTCTCCTGGGAGGGGTTTAATACATTTAAAACATAAAACGTGAGCGAAAGGCCCAGTAGGATATAATTTGAAATAAACGTTATAAATAAATGAATAATAAATGTGCGAGGGAAATATATAAATGAATAAGTAAATAAAATAAGAAATTCATTCTCGACGGAACAGCCGGAACCTCACATCCTTTTTCTCAAAGGAAATAAATGTAAAATCTCCATATTACAGGCTTCAGCAAGTAATTAGTACAAATTACTTAC